CCTGGCATGCGACTCTTCGTTTCACAGCCTTCGACTCCTTCCCCGACACTGGCTCCCCCCAAAGACACTGGAAATACATCCAGCCTTCGAGCAGCCGAAGTCCAGCAGGTCTTATGGAGAGGGACCCCCGTTTCCGGTTTCCTCCCTTCGCGTTGACCACCCGGCGAGCTGCATGGCGCAACAAGGCAAGCAGCGCCCCTGGCAAATGTGCGGCTGCAGAGGCGGCGCGGAGACGCCTGCGCGGCGTGAGCGAGCGCCGGGAGTTCTCCGTGTATGAGTTGTCTCCTAGCCCTGAGATGGGTGGCTTCCCTTGAAGCCGACCGGAAAAGGCTCCAATCCAATTACCCGACCCAAGATTCGAATTCTTTTGGGGTTGCCTCAGATCGCCCGTTTCGGGTCCATGGCCACCCTTGAAGATCCAACTCGTCGACCCAACAGTTCGCCATCCCAAGGTCCATCAAGCTTATGGAACCAGAACGGACTGACGCATAGCCATGTTCAAGCTTCGACTGGTTCATAGTTGCGCCATGACAGAACCGGAGGAGCACCCATGCTTCATGTTCCGCTCTGACCTTCAGGCACCAAATCACACGGCTATGTCTCAAAATGGGAGGAATTTTCGGACCTCCCAAGCTTCGGTTGGGTGGTTGCCCTTGAGCCCGCCTGAACTAAGGCTCCCCTTCCCCTTCCCCCCCCACCCCCCTGTGTGGCTTTCTTGCCATAGGACCCCTCGAAGGGAAAAAAAAGCAAAAAGCGAAGCACCCGCACCCCGCAGGATTCGATCAAAACCGTGCCTTCTGACGGAAGATCAAAGACCACACCGAGGCTGCGCCCGTTCAACATGAAGGACACCCGCGGACCTGGGCAATACCAAAGAAGCGGAGCCAGGCCCTGTCTCTGAAACCTCCGCATGCCGAAAACAATTCCAATGAACCACTCCAAGCAAGGTTTCGGATTTGGCAGATCAATGGGAAACCCGTGCAAACCCAACTTTCTACGATGAAGTCAAAAGGCAACCCCTGAGTTGTGCTGAGTGCTCCACCACAGGATCCTTCTGGCCAGTCCAGGAGAGCGCCAATCTCGGACCGAAGGTGGCCCCCTCTATCGATCGGGGTCCCCTGGTTGCTTGCCCTCTTCTCATGGAAGTGGACAAAAGGCTCTTGCAACACTGCCATCATCTTCAAAGGCCCCCTGTGCACTTCCATGACTGCTCGAAAGAGAGTACCCCCAAAAAGAGTACAGATGGGACTCTGGCGAATGCAGCATTGTGACCCAGGCAGGTACCACTCTCCCACATGCCCTGTTGTAATGAAATCACCCGCAAGCAATTTGACAACCCCAAATGCCCGCGTACGAAGCCGCCAAAACAATCAGTTTGGCAAATTCCCTTCCCGGAGGAGCTTGGATTGCGCAATCCAGCTTGCTAGAACACCTCCAACCCACTATTCGCTAAGAAGAGATCCCGCTCACGCACTGTTTCGGAAAGCGACACGAATATACCACAAACAAAAGAAGCAACACACACACAAACACACACGCAAACCTGAACACAGGACATACGTGCAATATGTGTGCAGTGTGCTTCATTTGCAGCCGCTGGGCGTTGTTTTGCTTGCTTGCGAGGACAAGCTCCTTCAAACGGGAAATTTGGCATACCTTCAAACGGGAAATTTGGCATCCTTGGCTTCTGAACCATGGGAAGGGATTCTCCCTGTGCAGGAGAGGTGAACACAGCCGTGCTCGCTGAAAAGTGCGAAGAGCATGATCAATATCCCGTGTTTCACCACCAATTACCCCAAGTGGCTCACCATCGGACATGCTCCGAACCCTTTATGGAGGACCGTCGGTACCAGGCAAACCAAAGGAAACCCGCCCAGTTGGGTGTGTCTTTCTTTAGTGGACCAAAGATTTGATGTGTTGACTTTCCTCTTAAAACCAACCAAAAAGGGGTCCCCTCAAAAAAGACACACCCAGTTCTACCCAAACATTTGGTCGATCTTTGGAAACGGAGCCGGGCCCCATAGACCGACAGAGGTCGGCGTTCAGAGTCCCCAGACCACATCCCCCGGGCGGCCAAAAGCCGGAGCAGACACCGAGCCACCTGCCGAGATATGGTCGGTATGGTGAGAAACAATTCTATGCACATGGGTAAAGAGTCCCATGGTTCTGGTGGTCCCAAACGGACCATTTGGACTGGTTGACCGAACACGTTGTAGCTGAACTAAGGAACTAAGGGGTGCCTGGTTTTGTGAGGACTCACCATCCCCAACAAAAGCACTAGGGAGTGTGAAACAATCTCATGCTGGCTTCCCTCTTGAAGCAAAAGCCTCCAGCGGCCCATTCACGAGTCAGGGTTCCAATGTCAGTGCAGTGCTGGTGCGACACCCCGACCTTCGTCACCAATGATTGCACCGTCGGAGGAGTATCCAAGCAATCGCCGCCTCAGCATGGTCCATCACAAGTGAGCGGCGCAAAGCACTCACGGACTTGTGGGTGCTACCAGCAGGCTTGTACAGGCATATATATATTATATTATATATATATATATATGTTTGCTATAACTCCCACAAATCCAGGTAGCAGACCCGCCTATTATGATAACATGGGCAATTTGGGGTTTGAGTGCCGCTCAAGTTCAGGATCCTTCAAGCAGCAAGGACAGCTTGCAACATTTCAACTGGAACATCCTTTGGCAATGTCTGATTCGATCAGTCTGACCGTGTTCAAGTCATATCTGCCGCTTTGGAATCAAAGTGTGAGTCAAAGTCGGTTCCCTTCCTACAGAGCGTACGAAACACGAAAGGAAAAAGAAACAGCGCGGTTTTGTGTGGAAAAACATGGCTATGCGGGATTGTCTTTTGCATACCGATTTGCTTTTACGGTGTTTGTACGGACAATTACTGTTGTTATACGGTGCTTTTGGTTTTTTACGGGTCCAAATTCGGGCGAGACAAAACGAGGATTTTCGGACAAGAGCTGCAAGCAAACAGTTTGTTTGGTTCTAACCCGCTTGTTCCTGGGTTTTAGTTGCCTAAGATTGAACATCGTTTGAGATTGATTCAGTATCTGTCTAGAATTGATTCATGCTGGCTTAGTATGACTCAACACATTGGTTGAGGATTGGTCTAGCCCTTTTTTGTCGCGTGTGATAGTGGCTCTCATTGCAATTTGCTATTGGACGGTATCACGTCAGTCTTGGTTTGGTATAGCATTTCTGCATTTCCCTACCCTCGGGCAAGTCATTCAATACGAGGCCACCCTAGCAACCTGAGAGTGTTGCCTCCTGGACCATTGAGGAAAGCCGCTTGTCGCCTTGTTTGACCTTCTGAAACTTATCAGGTGAGGTGGACTGTGAGGGCATTGGCAGGACGGCTTGCTGTCCTTTGGCAAGTGAAGCTCTGATGTGTCTGATCTCATCGAACCAGCTGGCCTCCTTGATATTACACTAATATATATATATATATATATTTCCCATACGGGCCACTTACTTTTGACCTCAACAAGTGGCCATGATCAAAATCCAAATTTCGTACCCCCAGCGAACATCCAAATCCCCAGTAAAAGAGGATCTAAAATGGGTGGTGAATTCACCAATCCCAACCAAAATGGGATCAACCACAACGGTTTTGACCCCAGAAACAAGTGACCTTTAAAAAACCCCCCCAAAAAAAAACGGGCCAGTCAAATTTGACCTCAGAAATTTAGGGACCTTCCGCGGGAAGAAAAAAAGAGGGGCCTTCGCCGCTCCCTCGGTTCAGAAGGCCCGAAGCCCTTCCTCAGCCCCTGGCGACGCACTGCGACCGGTGCAGGTCACGGAGGGCAGCACCAGGGCCTCGATGGCTTACCCGGTTTCCCCGAGTCACGGCACGCGTAGGCCACGCAACCGCGTGGTTTCCCCTCGTAAACTTAGATCCCAGCGGTGGGAAAGGGCGTCCTTTTTGTTTGTTGGTTGAGTTGAACGGGGAACCCTCTTCCCAAAAAAGGATCAAAAGGGCGCCAGTGGGCAACAGAGTAAACCCACCCCAAAAGGGGTATTTTCGAGGAATTCCTGCTGCTTTCCCAAACAAAAACCAAACCTGTACCAGGCTGGTTTTACCCTGGAAAAAATAGACACCCTGATGGGACTTTCTGCAGCAAATAGGCCACACACCTACCAAAAACCAAGACATGTCCAGCACCAACTCAGAGAAAGGTTCTCAAGACAACACTAGGGCTCCCATTTACCACCCTTCAACCCACCCCCCATATCGTCAACCCGCCAGTCAGCAATTGTCTCAACGCCGTTCTCTTAAGACTTGAGAAACCGCCGAAACACTGGGAGAAGTACCTGGACCCTCAAACCACCAATCAAAAAACAATCAATTTCCCTCATTTTGGTGCAAGCAGCTTTCTTTCTTTCTTTTTTTGGGGGGGAGTTGTTTGTTTCCAGGTACGGCTACCCTTGAGGTTGAAACATCCACAACGGCGCAGGAGGAGGGGTGGAGGAGCGCACTGACTCCTTGGACCTCTGCATGGCTAAAGGTTTTTGACACATGGGGCGATTACATGAGAGCGGACCAGAACAGGCTGGCTGCCATTTCTTTCCCGGTGGAGCCATCCAACCGGGGAAGGGGAAGGGGGACCTGTCTTCAGGAAACCCACACTTATCGTGGTCAAAATCCTCGGTGAAATGGAAAGATACAACTGGTAAGAACAAATGACCGAAACTGGATTAAACCAGTGAAATCCACATGCGCTTTGTTAGTCCAAGATGTTACATTCCCCCTGAAACCTGTGAAGCTCGCTGGTTTACCCATGGTCAACACTCGTGTTGGGAGGGAGGGTAGCATCTTCCCATGGGGGGTTGATCAAAAGGTCCTGAACAAATATGAGATTTCCCGCGTGGGACAAATTACCCATGGTCCTTTGCGGGACTATGATAATATTGATCAACCCCCACATCCATCCTGGGCTCACAACTATATGGTCCCGCCCTAAAACAAACTGGAGGACAGAACCCCCCCCCAAAAAAAAAAAAGAGAAGAGGACAGAACCTCCCCCGCCAAAAAACACACACACACACAAAAGACAAAAGAACACTGAGAACAGAACAACCACCCCCCACGATCCATGCAATCCACCGGAACCCGGTGGAAGGATTCCCTACGGCGATGCCGCGATGCATCCGAGGCCATGGCTGCGCTCCAGCCCACCATCAAGGAGCATCCCCTGCGGAGCTCCACCTGGCCGAAGGGGGTTGGACTCCCTACTCAAAATACGTGGTTTCAGGAGTGAGGAAGGGTGCTTAATGGTAACAAGTATGGAGTAAACTCGTTTTGGATATAGTTTCAACTGGGGATAGAGGGGGATGACACAACAAAAAAGATTGAAAGTGTTTCAACAGTTGACTGGGTCAACTTGTTGATGTTTCATTCATTGCCTTTCAGCATGGGGGGTATGATAAGATGTCGGCCTTCTCCATTCACGGAGAAGGGCGGAGAAAGGTGCCTCAGACCCTCTGCCAAATGCGCAACTGACAGCAAGGCTCCGCCAGTTCCCCTAAAGTTGAACCAGGAAACCTCGTAAATATCAGCATATTCAAGTCGACCAGTTGGCAAAGAAACTAATTAGCAAGAGTTGCAACCATGTGGATGCAACACGTTGCCTCTCCCAGTATCTTAGTATCTTCTCTAAAATACCTTCATGGAATCTTAGCTCGGCATCCAAAAAATGAGTCTTGTTTGGAGGGTACCCCCTCTTTCGTGTTCTCTTTCTCTGCGGGGAAACCAAAGGAAAACCACCACTTCCGTGGATGCTCTCCCAAAAACGGGCCCATAACACCCGCTCCCCTCCACCCAACCCCCGCCCCAGCCTCGAAGTGGTACCGGCCCCCCGCCACCAAGGGCAAACCCTTGACGCCGCTGGGCTCCATGCAGCCGGGCTCGCACCTAAGATGTGCAACAAGCTGCGGGCGGCTCGCGGCTTTTGTCTCTCCCTCTCTCTACCTCTGTGCGTGTTGCGTTTTTATGCTATGGCTCCGTGTGTGTGTGTGTGTGCTCCATGGCTGTGTTGTGTTTCCATGGCTGTGTTTTTGTGCGTGTGTTTCCACGGCTCTGTGTGTGTGGCTGTGTGTGGCTGAGTGGCTGTGTGGGGCTGTGTGTGGCTGTGTATGGCTGTGTGGCTGTGCGTGGCTGCGTGTGGCTGAGTGGCTTTGTGTGTGTGGCTGTGTGGCCGCGGGTGGCTGTGTGGCCGCGGGTGGTTGTGTGTGGCGGTGCGTGTGGCTGTGCGTGGCTGTGCGTGGCTGTGTGTGGCTGTGTGCGTGGCTGTGTTCGACCCCATCCATGTGGTCGGTCACTCTGCCTTTCCCTGGCCGATGGACCAGAAACGGCCAGCCCAGAAATCCAGTTGAACCGCTGACATTCCTTGAGTCAAAGCGCCCACGTCTGTCATTCGGACGCGTTTGAAGCATCCCCCGAGTTCGTCAGCAAAACTTGACTTAGAATCGAAATCCTGGCCTTGGATGAGCACCTCTTTAAAAGCGACTGCGTGCATCCAGCGTCGATTCAGTTGTCAGAGAAATGCATTGAGCTCGCTTAGATCACCAGACTCAAAAGAACAAAACAACAACAAGTTAGGATCCTGAGGTCGTCAAAAAGAAACACAACACAAACACAACCAGAGGCGGAAAAGAAATCCAGCCACTCCCATAAAGACCACCCGAAGGTTCAGTTGGACAGGAAAGCTCCAGATGGATCCGGTGCACGGAGGACCGTTGGGGAGTGGGCCGAGTTCTACTTGAAGCTTCGCTGCCTCAAAAGCCAAGAGAAACACCTGCCAGGAAAAAAATGCACCCGCGCGCACGGTGAGGACCAGTGGGCAGGGCAAACGTCTTCAGGTCGCAGTTGAGAATGCGAACGGGCGAGCGGCGGACGAGGTGGGAGTGTTGCGCTAAAGGCACACGCCGAGAGGAAGCGCGGCCTGATGGCTCTGTGCCTGGGTTGGATGCGATCCATACGGCTCTTTCCGAACATTTTCTGACACTGGCATAAAAACGCCTCCTATTTTTAATCCCAACCCATATTGTGTCAAAGCTGGGATATGGATCATTCCTTCCAACCAACCCTAAAATCAAACTCCTCAATCTGCGATTTGATGGTCCCCTTCCAACCAACCCATTTTAAGCCCAAACTCGTATTGTGTGCAGCTTGGGATATGGATCTGTAATTTCCAAAGGTAACATGGGTTCCCGAAACGCACAAACCCATAAGAACCGTCTTCCGCGTTCCTTTTCGCAGCCCAGGGCGCTGTGCCCGTAGCCCATCGGCCGAAACCTGAACGCCTCAGCACCGAAATGCCAGCGCCCGAAAGCTCCCAAAAACGGCAGCCCCATAGGTGACTGAAATCGAGGGGTTTCCCTGGTAGGATGGCATCAATCCAAACCAGTGGAACCCATCGATTTCTGCCCAAACTAACCTAAACAGGACGCTTGTGGGAACTCGACGAAAACGGTCGAAGAGAAAAAAGAGCTCACGGGTCCCGACACCAGCGCGCAACTACCAGACACCCGGGTCCCAACTTTGCGGCCCCAAGGGGATCCCCGTACAGCAACCACAAAGCAGTGGTTGGGGGGGGGCTGGAGTCTGGAGGTGCGCAAATTTGGGTCTGGTTGCCTTTGGATTGTTGAAGTCGAGTTGCCTTTGGATCTTTCATTCAGCCCTTCCCACTTTTGCCATCCAGCCATTGAGGTTAGGCCCGATGTTAGACCTCTGGTGACTCGTATTTGACGTGCAACAGGTTGTGACCGGACCGGCGAACCTCGCACAAATCCCCTGCCCATGCCGCCCCTCTTTGGCTTGATAAACCTTCAGCTAAGAGAAGTGGGGTCCGTGAATGGTTTGGATTACAGTGAGCCACAGGCACTAGGTCCTCCAGAGGTTGGAATAAGGGTACCAACTTTTTCTGTCTATCTTAGTAGGGGAACCCTCCCGAAAAAAGGTGTGTAAAGAAAAAGCATTACTGGCAGACCTAGGTTAGAAAACCAACAGGTCGACGGTTCGCTTTGAGGCTGGTATGAATCTGCTGCCAGTCCCCACGGTAGCGAGCTGATTCTCGCGTCAAGCCTGCCACCGCCTTGAGCTGGCTTTGAAAGCCCATCCATGTACAGGGGTCACGAACGATTTCCCTCAAGGTTACACTTTTCTGGTGGGTTCCAACGAAACTGCCTGGGGAAATAGAGGCATTTTTTGATGTACCATAATCATTCCGACTGATTGCGTCGGCATTGATTGAAGACACCCCCCAAACCCGGTCAAACTCTCGCCTAAACAATCATGTCAATGTCGCAACGCGGAAAATCCGGAATAGGGTACACCCGTGCGCCATCGTTGGGTTCAGGGTAGGCGGGCTCGGCCAATCGATGGTCAAGAAGAGGGAACACCACGCGAATTTGGTGTCCGGATCACCAACAAGGCCAGACTTTTCTAGGGGTTGATTCCCCATTCTTTTCAAACATCGCTCTTTTCAACCACCAGCGGTTTTTTCTTCTTCTTTTTTCTGGGGTGCTGATGGTTTTCTGGAAAGATCCGGATCCCTGGGTTCAGAATGGAAATGGAAGTGTCCCCTAGAACCTTGGGGAGAACGTCTCTCAGCCAGCGGCTCTCGTCTTTCTGCAAATGATTCCAGCAGCAAGTGCCAGGCCTCTCCAAAGTGGCCTCGGCGAACAACTTGCCCTCGACCCTTTCGTTTCTTCCACCAACCGGTTCAATCGATGGGTTTTGGCCCAGGCAAATGGAGTTCAAAAAGTAGTGATCGGTTTTTCCATCCTCCCTCCCACATGGATCCTGAGGAAGGACCCCTTCTCAAATGAAGCACGGGTTCCATCTGGGATGCACCTTTAGATTCCCCGTATAGGAACACTCGTTGAGTGCCTTTGTTTCCAGGGAATCAAAAGAGCCTCAAGGGTGGTCATCTGGCCTGTTGGAAATTCTGAGAGCCTACTTGCAATCCGTAATTCACTAATCCTCGTTTTGGCTGGTAATCTTCTTAATCCGCAATCCGCGCTGCAAACTTTGGGTCAAAATCGTACGTTGGAGCATGGACAGTCCACGCAACCCATGCTCCACACTTCGCAGGCCGCATAATCTAATCCATAAACCGCACAATCCGCCAATCATTGGAGATTAGATTTTGAACAAGCTGGGTAATTGTCTTGACTTTCGTTCAGCCCGTTTCTTAAACCACCCACTTTCTCGCACAAAAGTTGCCCTGAATGGGAACAACCGCCTCAGCCAACAATGCATCAGGCTGAGACGCTTGTGGCGGCTGCTTGGACATGGCCAGCCAGCCTTTCTTAGGAATTTCCGGGGGGGGAGGGGGGAAATCAGCATGGAAAACCGGGGGCCTCAGGGTAGAGAGCAAAAAACAGCATGGAAAACCGCTGGCTTTTGGGGGGAGAGCAAAAAACCGCAGGGAAAACCGCAAATTTTGGGTACACGTGCTCTTCCAAGTACATATCAAACCAGGACCCCTCTCAAAATGCAAACCCCTCCAAGCCTCGAAGCTCCGTGCCAACTTCCTCATGTTGGGCGCCAGCTTCTTCCTGGGTGCCACTCTTTTCATGGCCGAGCTTGATCCTATGTGTGTATGTCTGTCCGTCTGTCTGCCTGCCTGCCTGCTTGTCTGTCTGTCTGTCTGTCTGTCTGTCTGCCTGTCCGTCTGTCTGTCATGTAGGTAGTCCGTCCGTCCGTCCCGTCCGTGTCTTTGCGTGTGCGTGTGTTTGTACGCATGGATCCTCAAATGGAGTTGCTCCAATGTTCAAGAGAGCCCACAAGGAAGCCAACTAGTGGCCTCTGCAAAAGGGAAATCGACTTTGAAAGGAATCAACTTTGAGGGAAACCAGCAAAACCCAGTTTTGAAGAGGTGAGATGGGACGGGTTGTACTGACCACACATCGCCAACGATGTGATTGCCAAATTTGACTTGCACAGCTTTCATACAAGTGGCGAAAAACATACGTACATGATTGTTTTTTGTGATCATGCAAACGGATGGACTTTAAAATACCCCGGCATCCCATACCAATGAATTATTTAGGCTCTTATATCATCTCAAGCAACTGCGCAAACGTAACTCCGTTCCACATTTTTGGCCGAGGCCATGTTGTGCATATGTGGGTATGTGCCAAAAGGACTTTCCTTTTGGCTTCCCAGCCCACATCCAAGGAACATTCCAAAAACCACCTGCTTTTCAAGGGGATCCTCCACATTCACTTCTTTCAAAGCTGGCATCCACAGAGCTGTGCATGGAAGATACACGCCACCTTAAATCAGCCTCCCTCGTTGTTCGGAGGTTTGGAGCCCGGTGGTTTGGTGGGTTTCTGGAGGGGTTTCCTTCCCATCCCCTACAAAAGCCAGGGGTGCAAGAAATCCAAACCACCAATCCCAGCCAACTAAGGGGTAGCTGCTAGGGAGGACTACCAAGTTCGGGGCACCTGATGAACGTTGATCTAAAGAACCAAAGCCCCAAACCTAATCCAACCCAATTAAGTCAGCTTCCCTCGAGTTGGTGGTTTGGTGGTTGAAAACGGGTGAATTTAACTTGATTCAAGTCGGAGGTCTGGAAACACCGGGGGAGATGTCGCAGCTGGATGCTGGCAGCAGATTCTCAGGCTAGGGCTTGGCCATGGGCCCAGTGGCTTCCTCCTCCTCCAGCTTCCGATGCCACGCAGCCTGGCCGAAACCGAAACCGATGTTCCGGCCGATCCCAAAACCGCAGAGCCACGGGACCTTGGCCACAGACCCACAAAAGACAAACCCACTGATTTGTTTGAAAAGACCCCACAAAACCCAGTGCGATCCTTTGCTTTTGCCGCACATGTTTCTTGAATTCCTGTAATTAGCCGGCTGCTTAGATCCGTCCCTTTAAGTGACTTCTTCGTTTGGCAGGTCCCCCCCTGCCTTGATCTCACTCCACTTGGCCAGCTCCAAGCGACGCCGCTTCTCATGAGGCGGCATGTAAGTCCTGGATGCGTTCCCGCGTCCGGCGCGGGCGGTGCTCAGTGTCCTTTGGATGGCCAAGAATCGGATTTAGGTCCTCCCTTTGAAGAAAACTGAAGTGGATGGCCAATGATGCAAAGGGAGACCGAGCTGACCCAAGTGACACTTACGATCTTGTCGTCCTGATCGCCGAATTGGGCAAAAGGGGACCATTGTTCAACCTGACCGGGGTCCCAACTCAACCTTGTGCGAGGCGGTCTCTTGTCACGTTGTGCTGTTCTGCGCTTGGTGGATATCTTCAATGTTAGGGTGTGACTTTTTGGAACAAACCTCATGCGCCCCCAACTGACATCGGATTTTGGAGAGGAACCCCCATTTGCCAGTCGTAATGTGAGGCTCGTGCGCCCCATGTCATCGTCGGTACAGTCGACAGTAAAGATTGACCGCTCAGCATATCTCAGTTGCCCAAAGGACCCAGAAATCAAAGGTGATTAAGGTTAACCTTCTGAGGCCATCATCATCATCATCATCATCATCATCACCATCACCCTCACCATCACCATCACCATCATCATCATCATCATCATCATCATCATCATCATCATCATCATCATCATCATCATCATCATCATCATCATCATCGCAATCTCATCATCATTAGCTGCTGCTTTGGACGGGTTACTAAATAAACCCTAAACCCGAACCCCTTTTTGGTCCGCATCGTCCTCAACCGCATCCTAGCTGCCTGAGGCCCCAGCGCTTGCACGGGCGCAGCCCGGGCTCTTTTGAGTTCAGCCTGCGGGGCTCCCAACCTTCCCCCGGCTGCACTGTGAACTGCGGATTCATCCAAGGGACGCTAATCGCAGTCAGAGGTGGTTCCCCTTTGGCGCGGAATGCAATTCATGTCCGAAAGATTGCTCTGAGATTAGTCCTCTGGATGTATGCGAAGTTCACAGTGCATGCGCAACCAACATGTGATCATTAGCTCCAATACATTGGACAAAAGGGGCCGGTTTCGGGACCCTGGGTTCTGACGGAGATGTGGGGCCGCATATCCTTCCAAGCCAAAAACTCGACAACCAATCCCTTGAAGGATGACATGGCGTGGCCATCTCTTTGGATCAACCTTTCCCATTTGGGCCAGCCTCCATTTTGTCAGTTCTGGACCGGTCTTTGACCGCCTGAAACAAGTTCAACATGTTGCCACTCGGCGGGGAAGCCATCATGCTCCAAACACTCAGGTAGTTGGTGTTCGTTGGTTTCCTCTTCAAACTATCCAAAAGCAAAACCCGATGTTGAGAACCACCGGTAGGTCCCCCAGTGTGGCACGCGCCGTTTTGCGCTGGCGCCTCTTCTTTGGCAGCCGGAACCAGCTGAGGCCTGAACCGATGTGGAAAAACCACCTGGTTTGACACTGAAACAGTAGTTCCCTGAAAGATGAGTCTTCAGAGCGGACCCATTTGATAAACATGAAGAAGCCGGACAAGTTTCATGGAGATTCTCCTCTTTGTGCCACCTTCCAAATCTCTTTAGCAGGACAAACATGCCGAATCCCATCCGATCCCCATCCTGCGAGGTCCAATCTGGCAAGCTGCCGACCGGCAAACACAACTCAACTGCTCGGAGGCCCGGCCTTTGCCGCAGTCCAACCTTGGTCAATCGCAGCCACAGAGTGAGTCATGTTTTGCCCGGCTACGACTCGGTGACGACTCACCGAGTTCCATGAAACTGCCCGCTTTTGGCGGTGCCAAAGGGAGCATCAGGAATCCCGATTCGCCTTTCTGACTCCGCGAATCAATGTGCATGATTTTGTGCACGTGCAAGGGATCCAATTCTGAAAGCCATCATGCTTGATGAGGCATGCCGTCTTGCCGAGATAAACCGGAAATCAGAAATACCTGAAATGCTGAACCTGGCGAGCTCTGCCTTCGGTGACGAATCGCCATCCTTTGAGGTTTCTGACCTCCGAAGGTCCACACTTTAGACCGAGACTTGAACCATCCCTGCCATGGGAAAAACAAACTCCTTGGCCGATTGGGTCATGGCTCCGTTCAGAGGAGTCAGTTTTCTATTGCTTGCAGGGACCCTCGAAGTGATAAACAAGCAAAAAAATGAATGCCCATGTAGTTTTTCCCCACAGCATCTCTCACTGGTGGTTTCCTAACCTGCCTGGGAGCGACACCTTGTGCCGTATCAAAACAGGGTAAGGTTGGGGGGTGGCTAAAAGGGTCACTGCTGGACCAACCCAGCAGATATCTTGAAGTGAGCGGTCTGTGCGCACTTTGCCCTTGAATGACACCCTTCAAAAATGGTGCCACGAGAAGTTCCCAGTAGGTGTACTCCCAAGGCGTAATATCCCATCCCTGAGATGATTTTGTCAAACATTTGGTTACGTTTCAAATGTATGGTTTTCCTTCAAAAGAGTACCCTCGCACCAATTAACATGGAACCAGACAGGGGGGCCCAGGATCATGTTCCTGTTAAAGGGCTAGGTTCCATGTTAATTGGTGCGAGGGCAGTTGCCCCACAAGTTGCGGGTCGTTTCCGTTTCAAGATGCTGCCCAGCTTGAGGCAGAGGACTGCCCGGCCCTCCGGAACCAGTCGCGCTCGCTTGCGCGGGGGCCCACCTTCCTGCCAGAAAACGGAGGCATTCAGAAATACGGTCGATGGACCAGTGGGGAAACCCTATCAATACCGGAATCATCATGAATTAACCAAGATTCTTATCAAAAAGCTCTGGACACCATTCTGAGGGTACGGAATGATATGACCCAAATGCACGCTCTATCAAAGACCCTCTAAGGCGGATCTTAAGGGCATATACTAGGCTCTAAGGATTCCTGATTCACACTCACTCTCTCACACACACACGCACGCACGCACGCACACGCACCCGCACCCGCACCCGCACCCGCACCCGCACCCGCACCCGCACCCGCACCCACACCCACACCCACACCCACACCCACACACCCACACACCCACCCACCCACCCACCCACCCACCCACCCACCCACCCACCACACACCACACACACACACACACACACACACACACACACACACACACACACACACACACACACACACACACACACACACGCTTCAGCCATCATCTCGCGTCGGCGCTGAGCAAAGGCAGGGAACCTAGGGCCGTTCCCTCGCCTTTGACCCAAGGGGCAAAGGTCGCCTCCCAGACTCTGATGCAGGTCAGCCAGGACTCCACGTAGCCGTTCTTCAGAAACTTGAGGAAAGACATAGCTTTCTAGGGGTACCTCCCCCATTCTTCCAGGGATCCGGATCTGAGAACCTCCAGAAAGCCGGGGAAAACGGCTGTTCGGAAAAAAAGAGAGAGAAAACAAAAAAACGATGCTTGAAAAGAATGGGCGAACCAACCCCTAGAAGCTGGTCGTTTTTTGTTGACCCCCCTTATTCGTGTTGCCGTCTCATGGCTGCACGACTTCTGTTTGCATTAGGATCCAGGGTGCCTGCGAGGCTCAGATTTTGGCATGGGCTTGCCTCAGGCCCAAAAATGGCAAGGGTCTCCTTTTGGCTCCCCTTTGCATCATCCTCCTGTCCACTAACATGGAACCCAGCAGAGGGTCCAGTCAGGTTCCCTGTTAGTGGATGGGAGGGTAAGTAATGATTTACTCCGGACAAGATACCCCCATGGGCCAACCAAAACCCAGGCCCATCGCCAGAAATTCGGACTCCTGCGCGTCTGCGTCCTGGACGTCCGCCGCAGGAACCAGCGAGGCTCCCGACTCCTACTCGTGACGCGCCCGCCCGCCCGCGCATACCCAGCAGGGGCAGAGCACTTGCAGCTTCCTTCCCAGTGGTGTGGAGCCCGGTGGGGCGGCTGGGTGTCCCAGCCCTCAACAAAAAAAAGCAGGGCTTCAAATCCAAATCCAAACCACGCTCCAGGTTGCCTGACTTGCTCCCCAGGCTCGAGGTCCGTGTTTTCCAAATCGATCAGGTTGACCAGACTTGATACTGCCTTGCGGTGGGCACCGATTAAAGATTGCTTCAGTAGACCAACCATTGACCGCGAAGCCCTGGTGCAAGAAGTCAAAGCGAATTATCTTTGCTCCGTTTTTTTTCCTTTATCGAGAATTTGTCGGGTTGTCCGATTCTATTTGTTTAGCCGACGAACTGGTCTCTGCTGGATGCATTGATGAATTGGTTTGTTGCATTGAGGGTCTTCTTTTGGGGGTGGGGGTTCCCGCTTGGCGACGCGAACCTGGCGCATCTTGCTTCCTGACATTGGCTCCCTTGTTGGATTATATACCCCAAACACATACGTGGTATCTAGCGAAGGGGTATCATGCCTTCAGCCCTGATAGTTGACCATGGATCTACAGCCGCGGCATGCAACACATGGAACACATGCAACATCTCTGGTGTTCAGCAGCTGAACGTCTTGGCTGATCGAGGAAGATTCGTGACACCACCTGGCACCTACTAACCGGGCTTCTCATGTGAATCTCAATCAGGATAAGCTCTGAAACATGGATGTTGTGTCCTGCTCCTCTTCCTCGAGAACCTCCTCTTCCTCGAGAACCTCCTCTTCCTCGAGAACCTCCTCTTCCTCGAGAACCTCCTCTTCCCCGAGAACCTCTTCTTCCTCGAGCACCTCTTCTTCCTCGAGCACCTCCTCTTCGAGAACCTCCTCTTCAGACCTCATGAGTCTGAAGAGACTAGCTCTACCCAAGCTGCGGCAGCTTGGGCCGAGCGCCAAAACAAAACCAAACTCAGGGTTGTCAAGGTGAACCACACAAAACGCCTCAGGCACGCGCACTTGCATGAAGCAAGCATCCTCGAGAATGTCTTCCTCATAGTCCTCGTGGAAGCCTACCTGAGCGAACCGACGGAAACAGAATTTGCCCAAAGGCGAAACGCAGACCTTGCGTAGCTCCAAGATCCCTGGAAAGGCTAGACGAATGGTCCCTGAGAAAAGTCCAAGGAACTCCAACCCAATTTCGCCCCCCTGTGGCATGCAACCCGCCGAGCTGCCTCCTCCTCCTCGCCTTCCAAGAAGCATTCGCACTCCACTTCTTGCTCCAGCTCCTCCAGCTCAATCTCGCCAGTGGCAATCTGGGGAGGCGCCAAAACACGCAACACACACTGCGACCAACTTTGCCCCTCATGTTCGAAAGGGCTTCAACAAGTTGCCAATGTGAGCTTCCCGCTCCGTTGGGTCGCATCCCGTGACCTTTCTCAAAGAAGCGCGCCCCTTTGCAGCCTTTGGAACTGAGCCGGACATGCAGCGAGCCTCGTCCTTTTCTCGCCACCAATCATCTTGAGTGTCTACGACCTTAAACCCGGCGCTGAGTATCTGGGGTGCTAAAAAAATGAGCTGTCTCAATAAACGTGTCAGCCAAGAAACACATAAATCCCAGAATCTCTTCAAGGTGGCACCATGGGGGTCTTCTTTTTGGACAACCCCAAAACTGTGGGTTTTCTTTTGGCTTCCCTTTGAAGCCACAAACAAACAACCAAAGGGCAATTACACATTCTCAAAAGAAGACGAGCCCATATCATTGCTATGCAAATTGCAGCCAAAAAAGGCACCACTTGAACCTCCCCTCGGCGCACCAAGCTTTCGGCTTCAAGCTGCTCCTGAGGCGAGTGAAAAGATACGCTGCCAAAAGGCTGTGGCTCAAAATAAAACCACCAGGGGACCGCATGTGGTAGTCCAAGTTTCCATTTACCAGGGCAAGCCATTTTGGGTACATATTTTTGACCCACCGCCAAATGGCTGTGGCTCAAAGATTCGTACCAAAAAGCGCACCATGGGAAATGGAACCAACGATAACGAGCTGACGTAATCCTCACCCAAATCCTGTAGCCTCCCAAAAGCGAACAGAACATGGACAGGGGCTCGTGGACGACCGTTTTTTGGGTTGAAGGGACCCCTGTACAGGTGCTAGGATTCATTTTGAGAGGGTAACATTTCAGACCGTATGGAAGTTGAATGGTTATGGCGAGCATATGTTCGTGTCATTCACGGGACGGATGTTTGGGATAGTGACAATGGACTTCTGGAGTCAGAGCAACCTGTGTCTCCAATGTGACGATGAGTCTTCACTCGCCTGGGAGGCGAGGTTTGACATAAGGAAAATGAGGGCCCAGCGAAAATACAAATCCCGGTCGGAAACACCAGCAACGCAGGGATGTCTCGAAAAATGGCAAGCCCCAAAGCCGTGAGAACGAGTTGGAGCCTAAGGATGCTTGAACTCAGGTTTGGAGTCCAGGGGCTTTATTGAATTTGAGTTTGGACTCACAATGCTTTTACTTTCTAGATGAGCAGGGCTCGCAAGTGGTCTAGCTACAAGATACGAATTGGGCAAGCCCCAAATAAAAGCAACGCATGCTGCTTTGACAACGAAGCATCGGCTCGTTCGCTCTGGTCGATTCGCTGAGGAATCCGAACATGGAAATCGAACAAATTAAAGCAACATATTCAGGGTGCAACTCATTAGAGCTTATCAAGCGGCTGGCTTCAAGCCCCTTGACAATGATTCAAAGGGTGCCCTTTGAGGGTCGCCACATTCGAGGCATCGAGCCCTGCCTGGATCCTCCGCACCCGCTTCCGCACTCGCTTGCGCCTGCGAGAGGCCTGTGCAGTGCTCATGGACCGTATGTGGCCCACAGAAACGGACTTCCTTTCCGGGTTTGTTGAAAAGTAGTCTGCTTCGCGCCAAGAAATGGAACCTTATCAATTGCAGGGAGGGGGGGGGGAAATATCCGATCCTGAAAAACGGGTCAGCCCCCGTAGACCAAACTTGGAAAAGGGGCAGGAAACCAAACGACAACGTCGATTGGCGTTGGCCAAGTGTTTGATAGGTGCCTCCAAACATGGGTTTGTCTGTTTTTGAGTTTCCTTTTTGTCGTTTTGAGGGAAACTGAAAGGAAACCCACCATGTGGGGGGGTCCGAACCCTAAAAAGCACACTCATACGCACACCCACAAAAGCCGGCTTCGGTCATGGATCCACTTCGGTGCCGCATGTCAAGGGTTAAGGTCGTCCAGGTCGTCGCCTTTCCGTTCAGGAAGTCCTCTTGGCCTGGCCAGGCTCGGGCCTAAAGGTGACACAGGGCGTCTGTGAAAATCTTTCTGGTGCTCAGCAGAGAATGAGGGAATGACCCTTATAAACCATCCAACTGGTGGTTTCCTTTCAGGGAATCCATGGGTTCATTCCCACATTCCCTACTTATCGCACCAGCAAAAGGTCCCAACAAGATTGCCCAGTGTCGGATGCCTGCTGGTTGAGTGTTCACCTCCTCCGCCTCTTCCTCAACAATCAGCATCCTGGGCGCAGGTGGTGTCTGCAGTCTGGCCATTTAGCTCGAAACAAAACAAACGGACGCGAGCAGCTCTGAAGCAAAGTTCTTCGTTCTAAGCGTGTTGACATCTTGCATGCCATGTCTAGACGCTCGCCAATCCCAGTATTCGTTGTCCCCAATGAATTCGATGGTGAGGTAACCTCCATTACCTGGTGAAAATTGGGGGCAGTGTACCCAATGTCATTCCCTTGACAGGAGACAACGGTGAACATTGACGGTCCATGGAACGTGACCACAGGCCAGCAATCAGGGCGCAACTCTGAGCATGACCACGGTCCTGTGATCTAGCTGCAATCGTAACGTAAGTCCGTTTGGAAGATGTTTGGGGTTCATGCCTTGCCTTTCGAGGGCAAGTCCAGAAACACCATCAAAATGACAACCACCTACCTGGTTACTTACCGGTTTTCATTGTGGATCGGGGGACAAACATGTAAATGCTCAGCGGTTCGTCGGCCTTCGCAAATCAAAGGCTTTGTGCCTTTCTGGGAAAATCGTAGACTTGAAACAAGTCCAACACTCTGTGGATCTTCATTACATCTTCTGTTTCTGGCTGGCATATCATTCCCAACCTGAAGCAAGGGTTCCCAAAGAAAGGAAAGCAACCTTCATAATAAGTGACGTCGGCCAATTCTGCCGAGGTCGCTATGCAAAGTAGCCGCCTGCTCCCTTCATCCCGTGCCACATCTTACCAAGGCTCTGAAAGTTCTGATTTTAGGGATTCCTCCAAATGGCGGGCTTACCTTTGGCTTCGCAACAACCAATCCAAAAGTTGGCCCCTCGCTTGAGCGAGACCCAAGGCAGAAGTGGATGTGAAATCGTTCATACTGAGGCCGGAGCATCTAAAGGTCCCCAGAGTTGCAGTCAACATGAAAGCATATAGCGTGATCAAAATAGTTCACCGCTTTGGGGGGTTGACCTAAAAAAGACACAACCACATTCACTCAACTCGCAAACAAGCATATCATGGGGTAATTCAGTGATTCATTCTACTTTGCCGCTTCTTTTTTTTTATTTTATTTTGTTTTTTTTCGGGGGGGGGACCTAAAAAAGACAACCATCTTCACACAACATAAACAGCTTGTACACAGTTCGGTATGGGTCAAAGTTAAACCACCAGGATATGGACCGGGTGTTGGTTCATGTTTCCACCTAAACCAGCCATTTGGGGTACATATTTCTTGACCAGCCAGTTGTACACGGATTGGGCGCCAGGCTCGCCGCGGGACCATGCCTCCAGCAGGTCTGCGTCCCGCAATTGCAGGGATGCGGCAGACCTCCCGAAGCGCAACGCGCAACGCGGGGTGTTCGGGCCACTATGAACAAGACGAGGTCCTCCGGATTTGAGCGGTAAGTTGGTACCCTGGGAACCCTCCCCCAAAAAAAGACTCGGTAAATCGGTTTCTACTGGACCTGGGGGACCCGACTTTTTTCTGTCAGATTTTAGTAGGGGAACCCCAAACCCCAAAAAAGAAACGGTAAAAGGGCACTACTGGGGGACCTGGTAACATGAACAAGAGGAACCCACCCAACAAAGATCTGAGCTTTCAAAACAAAACAACACTTAATTTCAAGGAATGATCACCAAGTTGGCTAAGAAAGAGACAGGCTGGCCGCAGGTGTGACCCACGAGCGTTTCAAGTAGACGTTCGCGCGCCCGGAAAACCGGTCCCCCGGTTCGCGGTTGCACAACCTTTCCGATGTTCCGATGGCCAAGCCCCTTGTCCGGATTCTTAGAGTTCCCAACACCCTCGCAGCCCCCGCAGCAAGAGAGGCAGCAATCCATGTCTTTTAGCTGTTGACCACAACGACACACATTGTTGCTCCAAAATCCCCTGCATAGACAACATGGTTCCTAAGCAAAACCAAGCACAACCAGCCAATCTACCAACTTGAGGTCTCTCTCGGTTTTTTCAACGTTCGCAAGCAACGTTGGCAAGAAGGCTCTTAGAAACCCGTGCTTCTTTCTTGGGATCCAACTCCAGACATGGCAACACTCTCTCTCTCTCTCTCTCTCGCTCCTGACTGGCTCGGAGTCTGGGACTGCCTCCTGGAGTGCCCGCTTGGGGAAGGCGAAAGCGGGGGTCGAAAGCCCACAGGGTCGTTTGATGCGAATTTCAATGAGGGGCCCCCTGGTGGACATCATTTGGCTGGTCAAAAATTGGTGCCCAAAATGAAACCCTGGTAATTAAATGGAACCAAGGACTAAAACCTGCGGTCCAATTCCTGGTGGTTTCATTTTGATCCATACCCATTTAGGTGGGGATTTTTGTCCACCTCTTTTCTTGAGGCTACCCTAAAAGGGATGGTTTTAAGGAATGCTGAAGGGAAACCAAAAAAACACACACACACACACACACATTCCAGGACAGCCTTCCAGGAGCCACTTGCCAGAAACGGAAGGCCTCAAAATCCGGCAACGCATGTGCCAGCTTCGATCTGGTGCGACAATACACCCGCGCAAACGCTGTTGAGGAATGAAGGCTTATCTCTTTGGAGCGATGATCAAAGATCGACCAAAACCAAGAAAGAGCAAAAGGATTGCTTTGGGCAATGAGTCCTCGGCGTCTTCGTATCTCTCAGTCTCCTCCTGGTCCTTGTCTACCTCTTGCCTTGTGCCTCGGCATGATTCATTCTCTTCGAGGCTTTCCCACTTAGAAGTGAGAAATGCCCGAACCCATGAGCCATGGTCCAAATTCCTTAATGGCAATCACTATGCTGGTTTGATTTATGAAGGATCCTTACCAGGTGGATTACCAAGGCCAAGCAAAGGAATCGGTCTTTTGACCATGTATGAAACCGGCATGGGCGCCCTCAAGGCCCTCAAAGGCCCTGAACATGAGCCAAGAGGCGGGATGACCTAGCAATCGATTGACCATCCAAGGAATTACCCAGTGTGTGGAGGGGAAGGGTCCCAACAGCAGTCCGGCCGCTTTGAAAACCTATGAGCTTTGGGTTGGAAGTTGGGACCATGTCCAATTGACCTGCTCGATACGGCAACGCTTGCCGAGGCGAAGGCGTGTGGCAACCAAGGCATTCCTCACCTTCTGAGGCATCGCGTCTGGTGCCGGTCTGGACACCTACGTGGCACCGGCTATTGTGCCCAAAAGCACCGCATGTTCTGACGTTCTGTTCGACCCAAGATCACTCCTGTTCGACCCCGTTTTCATGACACCCAAGTGGGCAACACCCACGTCTCACATCGAAACGTTCCTCGTCGCGCCTCGCGAGCTTCTCGGGCTCGACTGGCGGGAGTTTCGCCGGGCAAGTTGGTCTAAAGCAACAGCTCGCGTCATGCAAGCTTCATCCTCCTTGACAAACCGAGCTACTGCGCTCCTTGTTGGTCTGTGACAATCCTTGAAACTTGAAAAACAGCCAGACTTGCAAAACAGCCAGCTACTGCAGTGTATCGTTGGTTTGTGACAAGTTGCTCCATGTTCTGCCCATTCGCCATCATGAAGAACGGCCAGCTACTGCAGTGCTCGGTGGATTGTGATAATTTGCCATCCATTCCTAGCCATAGGTGTCCTTTTTGGGAAAATAGATGGCCCTGGTAGTTGATTGAACTAACTACCAGGTAAACCAGGGCCCTCTATTCTTAAACCAAATCAACCAAAAAGGGCAGCTATGTTCCTAGCGGTAACGGAAAATCACTGGGTCTGACAACCATGCAGGGGTGTACTTGGCAGTCTCTTCCGCGGGGGACAGGCGTGCTCGTCCTGGCCTCACAGAATCGTACTTTCGAAGCCGGCTTGCCCTGATCCAAAGATCAACCTCTTTGGGGGTGTGATGTCAACTCCCGAAAGAGGAGACATGTGACTGCAAAAACCGCCTTTCCTGAAACAAACATGTCCAGACAGGCCGGGATTCGGAGTACGGGTTCGTTCTACTCAGGTGGGCGGGTATCAAAACAAGGCCTCATTTCGCACCCTGGTTTCACGTCGGTCTGCCCACAGGACAAGGTCGGCATGCTTCCGACCTGAACGTGGCATTCATTTCTTTCCATGGCAATACATCCATGAAAATACAATGGTTGATCCTTCCGTTCAGGAACAATATAATAGTTCTGTCAAAGGGGTGTGAAACAACCATGGGTACTTTCCTCATTTAGATGGGTTGTCGAATCTTTTTTGTGGCTTTCCTACTGGTCATCCCATGTAAGTAAAGCACCCATAGCGATCGAATTCTCTGCTCCCGACCTCTTTGACTGCGAAGGTGCAGTAGGCGCTCTGGACTCGCCATATCCATATCCTATCGTGGTGCTGAGCCAGCTGGCCATGAGGCTTGGTGTTCTTTCGGACCCTTTTCGGCTTGGCTCAAAGGGAAACCTGTTTAAGGGGCTACCCCTACATTGACACACCCATGCAAAGTGCTTTGCTTTGAACCCCCGAAATGTGGTTGGTGGTTCATGTCCAACTCTTGAGAACATTGGAAATATGATATGCCAAGGGCATATCATAAAGGAACAGCATATACAAATGGTCCAATCAATCTTTCCAGTTCATTCCTCGGCGGAATGAGCCACGCTGTGATTCGGCCCATTCGAGACGAACGGCAAAAGCTCCATGGCCCACGCCTACCGGGCTGATGGGTTCTGCCTCATTGGATTCACTTGCGACTCAGATCAGACTCAAGCGGACTAAGGCCTCAACCCAAAGCGTTGAATGAAGGGGCGCAGGCATGGCATGCTACATCAGGCTAAAGATGTCATCCTGGCTGCGTGTCTCTGTCTGCGTGCTTCAATACTTGCCAAGAGAATCAGAGCTACCTGGAATGTGAGTTGAGCTGACGTGACTTGAGCTGAAAGCAAGCTGGTGTGCTAGCTCAAGCAAAGTGTACATGGGTATCATATGGCTGCGGGTGCAAGTCGGTGCCACCAATCCATTGGCAGGTGAATTCACAACCTGGTATTCAACAAGGCCCAAACCCACCCAAATAAGATGAACAAATCATATCCCACCAACGCCCCCGTTCACCAACCCTTGAACTGGCAAGGCGACTGCGGCGGCTTCTTGCAGTCAGCCTCCGCGGTGTCAGAAGCGGTCTGCACACCTGTGGGCTGCAAGTTGCAGCTGGCCAGCTGGAAGACAACATCTTACACATGCATCTACATTTACTCTTACTTTCGGACTGCGGCCTTTGATATAATCCCCAGAGAACACGGAAGCAACACACGCCATCCATTTTTAGAAATCTCCTTCTGGGGAGTCTCTTGGATTCCTTTCGATACTCCAGCATCTTGACCTCAAACCCGTTGCAAGCCATTCTAATTGCTCAATGACCCTAAGGAGAATTGGAACCCATGTCTGGCTGGTACATGGAAACCTCTCGTCTGCTCCTTTGCTCGTTGCTTTCTTGTAAAATAGATAAGCCCTCGTTTGCTCGCCCCCAAAAAACAGACAGACAGTTGCGGGAGCCGACCATTTCCAGAATTGTTGGGGTTGACCCTTTCAAGACATGTTGGAGTGGACAATTGGTTGCGGGAGCTGACCCTTTGTCTGAATTCTTGGAGTTGGACCCATTTCTGGAATTCTTGGCGTTGGACCATTTCTGGAATTCTTGGAGTTGGACCACTTCTGGAATTCTTGGAGTTGGACCATTTTTGGTGGGACCCCAAGATGAATCTTCCAAAAACCTATTTGATGGATCCACCTGAGAGCTCTGAATGAAAAGCCCGCCTTCGGGGGCCGGAGACGCTGTCGCCTTCGGGGCAGAACTGGGCGCATCTCTGGCCGCGGAAGGGGTCGGTTCCTGCACACAGAAAGCACCTGGGACACCTGGGACACCTGGGACACCTGGGACACATGGGACGAATCCAAGCCGATCTCCTGTCGCGACTTGCCGCGGCCTCAAGACGTCAACATCATCCCGAAAGGAAGAAAACAAATCTCATGTCCGGAAGGGTGATGCTCAAAGCGGACCAAAAACGCCTAAAAAACGCCTAAGCCGGGTCGAATCTCCGGGAAAAAATAAAAATCCCTCAAGCGGCCTGGATTGATCAGGAAGTTATAATTCCCGATTATTTTGTGCAGTAAACCCCCGCGACGGACAACACAGTTTCTTCCGCCAACTTCCAGCCATTAACTCAAAAGCAACAAGGTTTTGCCAAAAAGCCAACCCAGAAAAATCATGCTTCTCTCACCAGAGCCCATAATTCACAAACCGGGAATATGGATTCGACTCGGGACCTTTAGGTTTGAGTCCAGAGCCTTCCGGAAACGGCGGACTTCTTGCGCATTTCGAGACTCAAGGCTTAACAAGCTCAAGCTAGCCCACCTAAAATGGATAGTCCTACTCAATGATGCGACCACCAAATCCAAGTAATTGTGTCGGAGAGGACCAGAAGAGTCATGTGCGGTTCTGGGGACCCTCCAAACATGTTTGTTTCATGGACATTGTCGAGTTATCCCATACTTCCTTTTCAAACATCATCCTGCCGGAAACTCCGGCCCATGAAGTTGACACCCACCCCGTGTTTCACTCTTTTGGGGTGGAAGTTCGATGGAAGCCCCGACGCCCCTTCTGCGGCGAGTGCGAGTGCGAAACGGTCCTCGGGTTCATCCGGAGCACCGCCGAAGGTCGGAGATGCCGAGCGAGGCTGCGGAGATCGACTCATTGGTTAACTTTGGGTGGCTTGTGGGTGGGGGTGGGGGTGAGTTGTGGGTGGGTTGCGGGTTGGGGTGGGGTGGGGGTGCGTTTGAAAAAAGAGGGGAGCGGGATGGAGTAGGAGGGGGTGGGTTGGGGTGGGGAGCGGGTAGGGGGTGGGGTGGAGGCCTCACAGGGGTTGACTCAACCTCCAAAACCTCCAGCGCCTTTTCCCCAACGTTACTCATGTGAACTGTCCCTCGTGACGTCTCAAACTTGGCACATGCTCTTGTCAAAACGGGTGGATCAACCATGTCCCGAACCAGGACTCCCGGTTGCTCCGAAAGGCTGCCTGGGGGAAATATGGATACCACCAGCTCCGCAACGGCTCCCTTCCAACCACCATCCAAACAAGCGTCATGCTTCTTGGGCGAGCTTCTCCTCAACCCCCCCCCCCCAACCCCCCCTCCCCCCCCAAAAAAAACACAAAAACACAAAAAACACAAAAAGCAAGATCCCTTGGGCGTTCCTTTAACACCAACATGGGTTCCCCTTTGCATCTCGCCTCCCGGGACGCACTCCCAGGAGTGGCACCCAAAGTCTGCAAGCTCACCTCAAGATGTCAGGGATCTTTGGATCAAACCGAGGCTTGAAGGATTCTGACGGCCGAAATCAGCGAGAAAAAAGAATCGAACCTTGCCAGTTGAACCGCTCATTCTGGTCATTTTGCTGGACATCCCGTTGGGATTCCCTGGAAGCAATTGCAGAGTCTGTTGGGTTCTTGGAAAGTCCAGAGGTCCACTTAATTAGACCCCTGCAAACTGGGCTAGATGATGGAGTTCCAACCCCGATCTTTCAAAAAACAGTGTGATTCTGTTTTGGGCATGCCGCACGCCCTAAGTTGTGCGCGCTTGCCGTGTATTCACCATACACATTGTAGTGTTAAGCATGGCCGCAGATTTGCAGCTTCGGTGTCTGTCACGGTTTTACAGCATGGCAGCCTGTTCACTGTGTCCATCTGCCTTCTTATTTGTGATTGTGTTTCCCACGCCAAATGGGGATGTGCTTTGCTGCGTTGCAGGACATTCATCCTTCCATACTTTGTTTCTGACCATTGCTACTTGTGCACAAGTACTCATGCTGCACAGTACTTGCATCACATCCCTGCAGTTTTAAAAAGGAATGCAGCACCTAGTTCCATGGGTGTTTCTCAAAAAAATCCATGTTCTAAGCCTTCAACCACCAAAAAGGGGTCAAACAACTTCACAAACACCAAACATGTCACGTACCACTCCGTGTTCGAGCCTTTCAAGGGGGTTTCGACCGGTCGGAGACACATGCATGGGAAATGCAGGGAAAACTCGAGCGAACGCATCCTCATGAACAAACTCCACTTGGGATAGATGAACACCTATTAGTGGGGAAAAAACCACCTGGGATACCTGGTGCAGAACTCCCCCAAAGCATGAAAGTGTCGTATGGGAACACTAGTAAAACCCAACATGTCCAGGTCTCCTACATTGGGACACGCTCTCTATGGACATGAGACAACTTACACATCTGCTGACATGCTTTCAGGAAAACACACGCACAAACAAAAAGAACATGCTGCGCGCCTTCAGAAACCAACATGGGCCTGTCTTTCTTTTGGGGCGGCTTTTGTTTTTGGTTTTTAAAGTCAATCCAAAAGGAAATTATAGGAAATTAATCAGGTCTGTCTTTTTCTGTCTTTCTTTTGGGGCGGCTTTTGCTTTTGGTTTTTAAAGTCAATCCAAAAGGAAATTATAGGAAATTAATCAGGTCTGTCTTTTTCTGTCTTTCTTTTGGGGCGGCTTTTGTTTTTGATTTTTAAAGTCAATCCAAAAGGAAATTATAGGAAATTAATCAGGTCTGTCTTTTTCTGTCTTCTTTTGGGGCGACTTTTGTTTTTGGTTTTTAAAGTCAGTCCAAAAGGACACCAATCCTTTTGGAGGGTCCCTAACAGAACAGGGATCCTTACATTACACACCTGAACATTGCCTTGTAAATGGTGGTTTCTCTTTTTGGTGGGAAAGCGCCTGGTTTCAACTGGTTGCGTTTTTTTTCTTTTTCTCGGAGCCTTGAAAACGCCAAAATCACAGCATCTGTTTCCACTCGGAGTCTAAGGCGGCCACCTCGGTCTGCGCATCCTGCCAATCCGATTTGACACAGTCGCATTTCCAGCAAAAGCAAGAGGGACACGAACCAGCGAACTGGCGCTGGGGGATCATGGAATTTCACACTTCGATACTGGGCAAGAAATGGGCCTCACAATGAATGATTCTGCCCTGGTGTCACAGTGTGAGCTAACCCATCATGACATCTGGAATTGAAGCTGATCCGGCTTCCCAATTGTCAGCCACACCGCGCAGTCACAAGTCTATCTCAACTTTTGCTGCAACTAACATATATTGGTAAGATCCTGATCCATATTTGGTGAACCTCAAATCAGTGATGTCCGCATCCTGAAATGATGCCAAACTGCGCCTTGATCCAATTCCCAAACTGAAGAATCACAATGAACTTTTCAGAATGATTCTCAAAACGTCCAAAGTTTGGACCGGGATCCTCTTTTCTTAAGGGGACCTTTGGGTGGGTGCCACGGCAACATGGGAAGGATTGACACACTCAAGGCTGATTCATGGGAGGGAACCTTTGCTGGTTGGGGGAATACCTTGCTAATCCGAAAGGTAAATCTATCCGGTGTGATTCATCCTGAGCCAACATTGCTCCAACCACTGTTACTTTTGATGTGTCAAAACTAATGTTGATCCCGGATTAATAAACCCCTGTTTATTAATATGGGGGTGTCCTGGGTTTTAGTGGGGATTTAGCACTTTTGGAGGGGAACCCTCCCATATTAATAAACAGGGGTTTATTAATCCGGGGTCGACATTATCGAGTCTTGATCGACTTGGGCTTCCTTTGCAAGTTGCCATGGAACTCCAACAAACAGCCCAATCCATTTCGAGGATTGACATCTCCTTTTGGGAACCGGACCTCTGTGTGGGGTTCCTGTGTGAAAAAATCCAGGCGAACACAGCGCCCAAAACCCATTGACTTCTGGTTCTGCCAAGATGCTCATAAAGGTGTATTGAGACCTTACTACAGGAAACTAGGTAGTAGAACCACCTACTAAAACATGCTAAAACGGTTAGGGGCCGTTTTGGGCGCTCAGGTGAGGGGGTTGACATCCGGGCAAGAGAGATGCGCGGGCCTCCACCATGGAGTCACCTGGCAGAAACGGTTTCAGGAAGCCAAGTTTCAGTGAGCCCAAGGTGCTGCGTTGCCGGACCTTGCCTTAAGGGAAACTCAAGGCAAGCGCGAGGCAGGAAGGGGTCTGATTCGGCTGAGAAACACCACATTGATATTTCTCACGGGGGATCCTTGGTTGGTTTCATTTGCGAGTGCCTTCAAAACTCCCCCTTAAAGAAGTTCCTCCATTTTGAGACAAACCCAATTGATCTTCTTCTCGTGCAGCAGGAACGAATGCTGAATGGTCTCGGGGTGAAGAGGTGCTTGCCGTTCTCGTTCCTAAAGCCATAGGAAGATCTTGACGTCAACCCTATTTGCCCCCTATCTGTCTTGGATCCCCCAGCAAAAAATCAACAACTTTTGCAGGTTGGAAGGACAATGAGGGGTGTCTGAAGAGTTAGACTAAAGATCCAACCCAATAGCAGACGAGTTGTGCCCATAGCAAGATCCGCCCTCAATCGAATCCGACTTGTCTTGGCCAGACAACACAAAGATCCATATGGCTATGCCAAAGTTCGGAACCCATCTGTGTGACTGGTTGCCTTTTGGTTTCATGCCTGTGTAAACTCCCACAGAGCTCAGCCTTGTGACGGGCGCCTGCGTTCGACAAACCTCGGGGTCACCGGGTCCCTTAAAGTTGGGTCCCATATCCCGAGCCGTTCAAGTGTGAACTCCTCGGAATCGAGAAACGACCCGCCTGACGGCCCTGACGGCTCCGGCGACTGCGGGTTCGCGGGCGTCGCTTCGCCTGGCGGACTAGAGGGAGCTCCGCGAGAAAGAGAGCTGAACAAGCTGTTGCGGCATAGAAAGCACCGCATAAGGTAGTAAACACATGTAAACACCAATCAAATCGCAAATGCGAAACACCCGGGTCTCACATCTCGCTATCCCTAGAGAGTAGAAGCCTGTTCGAACATCTCCCGAAATGCATGTTTCAGCGGAAAAAAGCCGCAACAACATGTACGCTCAAGTGGTTTCTGGGTATCCCTTCTAGGCGAGGAGAGTCGTTTTCGTGGACCTCAGTGCCAGTTTCATTTGGACCCGCCAGTGCGTTGCAACTTTCAGGCTGGTCTGTGACCCCACGCAACTTGCCAGGAGAACAAGCATGTTCCAAAAGGTTCGAAGGCTGGAGGTCAAACCAAAAAGTAACCAGACCAACTTACCCGTGCGTCATGAGCAACATCCGGTGCCAGTGGCAGATACCCGAAATCGGGAGTACAAAACCACGCCTTCTGGCTGAAACAAACCAACGGTAGCTCTTTGGGAGTCTGGCAAATTTGGAACACTGGCAAACTAGACCAATGCCGAATTTCGCCAACAGGTGAGTTGCAGGGTTGTTCTAGCAAACCGGAATGCTGCCAAACTGGGGCACTGAACATGCAAGGCCAGAAACCCGGTTGGTCAAGAGGAATAAACTAGGACCACCAAATGGGCGGCCTCCAATGGCCTCCATATACGGCCTTCTGGTTTCCTTTTACATGGGTCATTCAACCACCAGGATATGGACGCAGATCGTAGACCTTGTGTTCATTTACCAGGGCAAGCCATTTTGGCTACCTATTTTTGACCCACGGCCACATCTGATCAAAAAGGGCGTCTATCTCTGCGTCTGTGTCCGTGTCTGTCTCTGTCTGCCTCTCTCTTTCTATCTCTCCGCTTTTAAGTCTGACTTTGCACTTCCTCCATCTAATTCATCCCGCGATTCTTACCCTTGCTATCGCTTCGCATTCATCTGTCGCTGATGCGTTTACATGTCTTAGACCTTCAAATGTGTCGAACGCTCCGTATACACGCCCTGCACACCTGCGGGCCCCACAAACCGCTTCAAGAATGGGTGTTGCGAGAAATTCACACGGCGTGCTCAGTGCTCAGGCTTTAAAACACCATGCCCAATATTAATTGACACATTCCTATTGAGCCTCTTGTGCAGCACACAAGCCCATCACTCCATGCGCGTGCTAGCAGGCCAAAAGCTGTAGAGCCTGGCGCTCGCACCTCGCCTCAGGGTTTCTGTTCCCTTTCAATCGCCGAAAGAAGCTCATCTGAAAATGGCCATTCTGAATGGCTGATGCCTCTGAAAATGGCCCTGTGTACAGGGCAATGTGGCCATGGGTCAAAATCCAAATCGCACCCCTCTGTGAATATCCCAATCCCCAGTAAAATAGGTTCTAAAACGAGTGGTGAATTCACCTACCAGCCAAAATGGGATCCCATTGGTGTTGAGCCACAGCCATGTCGGAATCACCGCCATGTCGGGACACATGCAACTCAGGCGCCTTCCGCCTGAACGGCACATGAGAGCTCATCTGCCTGGCGCGGTTTCGGGTGACCGCATGTGGGCAGAACGGGCAACGGGCAACTCGTGGCGACCGCTTTAAAGGGACGCTTGATCATTTGCTCTCCGCGCATCCAGTGGATGGAAGTTTGGAAATCAAGCATCACTCAAAGGGTCTTCCAAGCATGGACGCCACCTTTGATCATAACACAAGTTCACTGGCCGTCCACCAGGCTAACGGTCATCACCCATTTCGATACCCCAGACCAAAAATAAAACAACGACCCCGGAAAAGGGGCCGAGCATCTGCGAAACAAACACAAAAAGCAAACGAGTGTCACTGAACTGGGACAACTATGCTTCACCAACTGGACACTTGGGATGCACCACATGAGCCTTAGCTCGATAACCCCTCTGCCCCTGGTTCGGGTGAGCTGGGTATGATCTGCCAACTGCCAAAGGCAACAATTTGTGGATGCAACAAATGAGTGAACTGTGTGTGTGCGTTTGTCGGCCCACGAGCGAAGTGCTTTTGGATCCAAGCATGAGTCACATGTTGCATCCAAGAAAGTGACATGTTTCTGATGCCAAAACATGAATGAGATGCTCGACTCAGCTGTACATCTGGGGCCTCTTTGGGGGCCGGACACTGTCGGCTACATTTATAGAGCTCAAAAGTGAAAGGGTTCCAAAGCGCCAACGCCGCCCAAATGGTTGGTTTCCTCTTGGCGTCCTTTCAAATGCTCACTTTTCACGGGGTATGACTTCAACCCCTACGCATTTTGTTGCCATGGAAGATCTTCGAGATGGTCCTTTCACGTCCTTTCGGGTTCCCCTTCTGCGCGGTACAGTCCTGAAATTCTGACTGAGGCCCTCACTTCGGGCGTCGTTTTGGGCGAGCCCATCTTGTGCGACAGCTCCGCCAAAAGCTCAGCCTGGGAATTTGGACACATCCAACAAACATCAACTTGGTTAATGCTGAGTGCGTTCGTGAGAGCGTGCGAGACTGTGTGTGTATTTGTATGTGTGCGTGAGCCGTGCATGATGCGTGCGTGTCTCTGTGCCTGGGAGCGTGCGTGCGTCTTAGATGTGCGGGTGGGCGGGTGGATGCGCACGTGCATTCGTGCACGTGTGTGTGTGTGCTTCTGTGTGTGTGTGTGTGAGCGTGCTTGTGCATGTTTGTGCGTGCTTGGGCGTGCGCGCGTAGGTGTGGGTGGCTGGGCGGGTGGGTGGGTGTGTGTTTGCGTGTGTTTGTGTGTTTGCGTGTTTGCGTGTGTGTTTGCGTGTTTGCGTGTGTGTGTGTGTGTGTGTGTGTGTGTGTGTGTGTGTGTGAGTGTGTGTGTGTGTGCGTGTGTGTGCGCGTGTGCGTGCGCGTGTGCGTGTGCGTGTGTGCGTGTGCGTGTGCGTGTGCGTGTGCGTGTGCGTGTGCGCGTGTGCGTGTGCGTGTGCGTGTGCGTGTGCGTGTGGCTGTGGGTGTGGGTGTGTGTGTGTCTGTGTGTCTGTGTGTGTGTGTGTGTGTGTGTGTGTGTGTCTGTGTGCGGGTGTGTGTGTGTGTGTGTGCGTGCGTGCGTGCGTGGGTGCGTGGGTGCGTGGGTGCGCGGGTGTGTCGGTGCGTGGGTGCGTGTGCGCGCGTGTGTGCGTGGGCGCGTGGGTGTGTGTGTGTGTGTGTGTGGGTGTGTGTGTGCGTGTGTGCGTGCGTGCGCGTGCGCGTGCGTGCGTGTGCGTGCGTGCACGCGTGTGTGCGTGCGTGCATGCGTGCGTGTGTTTGTGTTTGTGTGTTTGTGTGTTTGTGTGTTTGCGTGCTTGCGTGTTTGCGTGTTTGCGTGTTTGCCCGTTTGCGGGTTTGCATGTTTGCGTGTTTGCGTGTTTGCGTGTTTGCCTGTTTGCGTGTTTGGGTGTGTGTGTGTGTGTGTGTTTGTGTTTGTGTGTGTGTGTTTGTGTGTCTGTGTGTCTGCGTGTGTGTGTGTGTGCGTGTGTGTGTGTGTTTGTATGTGTGTGTCTGTGTGTGTGTGTGCTTGTGTTTGTGTGTGTGTGTGTCTGTGTGTGTGTGTGTGTGTCTGTGTGTGTCTGTGTGTCTGTGTGTGTGTGTGTCTGTGTGTGTGTTTGTGTGTGGGTATGTGTCTTTGTCTTTGTGTGTGTGTGTCTTTGTGGGTGTGTGTGTGTGTTTGTATCTGTGCGTGAGGAGTGCATCATGCGCGCGTGCGTGCGTGCATGCACGCATTATGCGCACGTGCGTGCAAGCGTGCGTGGCTGTGTCGTGGGCGACGTGCTGCGTGGGACTCTGCGTGGGAGCGTGCGTGGTGTGCGCGCATGGTGCGTGTGCGTGCGTGGTGTGCGTGTGTGTGTGTGTGTGGGTGTGTACGTGTGTGTGTGTGTTTACGTGTACGTGTACGTGTGTGCGTGTACGTGTACGTGCGTGTGCGTGTGCGCGCGAGCGTGTGCGTGTGTGCGTGTGCGTGTGTGCCTCTGTGCCCGTGGGCGTGTGGGCATTGGCGTTTTTTGTCGTGTGATTTGCAGGAGTTACCGCAAAACAAGGGTCACCCAGAAATGGTCGAACGGGGGCGCATTCAATTTTTCTTGTACCACAATTCAGCTCATTGGGGCATATCTCAAGATACGAATCCCCTTTTGGGATGGTTTCAAAGGACAAACAAAATGGAACCCCTCTTTTGCAGCGCTTCATGTTTTGGGATGCGCAAAACGTTTTGGGGGCCTTTTCGCACGGTCGAGGACTTTTCGAGGCGGCCTCGTAGATTTCTCGGATGCGGTAGCCGGGGTCGTCGTCATCATGGTATTGATCATCTGCGTCCCACACCTGGCCATTGATCCCATGGTGGGGGTAAGGGAACCTTTGGGTTGGTGGGGAGATCGTGGGTGTATGTGCGCGTGTGTTTGCTGATACCATTGGGCTGTGTGCGTTTGTTTGTTGAGGCTAAGGTTGGGTTGGCTCAAGGGAAACCAAAGGGAAACGGCCTGGGCCCAAATCTGCATCCTGGAAGAGCAATTCTGTCAACTTCCACGGAAGGGGGCTCGCCTTTGGCGAGTTTTGGTTTTCCTTTCTATGGAAGCTGACCGGCTTTTGGAATGCAGTCTTGAAAAGGGGGCAAACGGCACCGGCCATTGCAACCAAACTAAAACCAGAACCTTTGCGCATGTTCAATCAAACTGCCCTTACTCCCGCGCCATGTGTGTCCTCACATCTCCGGCTGGCTCAAACAACGAGCCACTCAACTGAGTGTTGAAAACGGCCCTTCCTCAGTTGATCGCGAGAGTCCCTTTACGCGGAGTTGACTCCCCAGAAATGATTGAGTCTCAGTGCCAACTCAGCACGTGTCCTCTCCCCACACACTTCCGGGGGTCCCATTCTTTTTCGGGCAACCCCATTTTTGGTGGTGTTCAAATGAAACCAACACAAAAGAACCGACCGCACCACTGCGGGGGGCCTAACAAAATGACAGAGTCCACATGAACCCGACTCGTATTGTTTCCTCCAAGGGGCCTCCCCATTTCTGGGGCGATCGCATGCGGATCAATCGCACAAAGTTTGTCGCGTCGGCCTCCTTCGGCCCATCCCGCCGCTTTGGTGGATAGTGAGAAGACCTCGGGTTCGAGTTATGAAAGGGCCTTGAGACATAATCGGCGCCACATTTGTTTGTTGTGTATCTGTATTTCATGGTATTATCATTATTATTATTATCCCTCTTATTGTGGTTATTTTTATTTTCTTATCTGTTTTGGGGGGTGGTCGGGGGTTCAACGCATTTCCCTTTCTTTCTTTTTTTTTTGGGGGGGTTCAGCGCCAAATTTGCAGGGGGTTCTTGACATCAATCAAAGCAAGAACCAAAAGAACGCGGTATCATTTTGCACAGCAAGTTTCAATCGGTAGCGTCCCTCAGATTTATGGGCTTCCACAACCTCTCTGAGCCTTGCTTGCAACGTGCTGAAGAGCCTTAAAAGGCATTTCAGCCAACAAATCAAACCGGGGAGCCGTCGAGATTGCTTATTTTCCCGCGTGCACTGATGTGAGTCGTGTCTTGAAAACATCTGGCGCTGCCAGGCCATAGACTCCTGCCCCAACACGGCCTTTAACGGCCGATCCGTCGAGCAGAAGCCCTTCGCATCGCATCGCCCAAAGTTTCGACGGAGGTCTTGCAAAAAAAGAACCAAAGCCACCGGGCACGGTGCTGTAGCACCAAGTCAAGCAATTCGCTTGAGGTGCGGTGGCATAACGGCATCATGTACCCGGTCCAGAAGGTATTGTGACGACCAAACAAATGGAGGCCCCAACTCATCGGAATGAATGATCATGTGGTATCCCCCGATCTCAGCTGTTGCCCTAGCAATACCGATATGTGCAATTACCGTGTATATATATATATATATATATATATGTAGTGAACCTGAAAATGGAACATCATGTCAGCAGAGTCCCCAGATTACAACAATCAATGGCTATGACTACAGCGCGTTGCTGATGCGGAGCAAACACGGACACATCCCCGAAGCATCGCTAGCCGAATGGATCCTCTTGCGCGCCGAGCTCATTTGCTATACCCTGTACTCCCAAGACCCAGCTTTTGTTCAATGTATTTACGAGGACCAGGCGTTTAGAGATATCTACCCTCACGAGGGATAGGAGCAGAGGTACCCTCCTCTTTTTCTGGACCGCATGCCCGGACGGGCGGGTGTCAAAGCACAGACAAAAATGAATCCCCTTGCGCTGTTTCCCCCTGCGCCCGCAAGATCCAAAGATCCAGAGATCCAAAGATCCGGGCTGGTCGCAACCGAATGGGAACTGGGATAATGAAAAGTTTCCTAAGGGTCCGGGAGGAAGCTGCTAACCTCTAGCATTGCCTTCAGCCGAGCCCAGCGAGAGCCAGGTAAGCCCATGGAGTTGCTAGCCCTTTAGCGAACCTCCGGACCAAACTACTGCTGGAGTAACCGACAAGTGATAGCAAGCCAGTGAAATAAAATAGAACTAGGGAACATGTCCCGTAGGACTACTCACTTCCTGAGTGGATTGCTCAGGAAAAGCACAGGATCTTCTGTGCAGCACAAACATGTTTGTCCACCAACATTTCTGGACTTCGCACTTTTGTTTTCTGGTTTGGGGTTCCAAGCACTTCTGTTTAGCACATGATCTCCCCAAAAATGCAAAGTCCAGAAAACCCAGGAAGTGAGTCGCGCGGATCTGCGCGCAAACAGCCAATCAGCCATTACCTGATCACCCGATCACCTGTTCACCTCCCTCTGTCCAGCTTGCCCTCAAGTCTTCTAAGGCGATTTCGGCAAAGCGGGATAAGGATCCTGAGAAGTACTTGGAGGACAGAAGCCCAAAGAGAGTGGACAAGCTCATTCGCTGCAGGACAGACTCCAGCTTTTTGTGCTCCTTGGGGTGCTGGGGACTTTCCTGAGCCCGGATGGCAAACTCCTCCTCCAGCAGGCGAAGGAAGGGGTCGCTTCCGAGGCGCTCCTGGAACTGCGGGAGGAGGATGGCCAGCAGGTCCACCTCCTGCAATCCCGCCACCAACTCCCGCATCTTCTTGTCCAAGGAAGCCGAACGGCTGGGATGGGATAAATGGCAAAATGCGCACGCATCGCCCTCCGCGCACTTGCCCATCTTGGCGAAGTAGACACACGGCCGCCGGCAGAGTTCGGGGTGGCCACGGCTGCCGTTGTTCTGATGATGATGATGATGAGGTGACCGCATCTGCGGGGGCTTTTGCCTCAGCTGAAAAGGGTTTGCATGCAAGGGTTTGCCTGGCTGTGCACCAATGACGCCACAAAATTGGGTAGAAAGGCAGGTTCGGCACTCGGGATTCCTCCCATCGGTACGATCCTCAACAAAACCTGGACGATTCGAACATTGAAATTCGGCAACGTGAGCAGGGGCACCGCATGTCTTCACCCATAGCTGAAGATTCAGAACACTCAGCTGATCAATTGGGGCACTCTCACGCAGGAAGCCCAACACTCTGACAGGGAAAAAGATACACTCCAAATCTGGTGCTTACATGGCCTATCCAATGTCTAGAACTATAAAGTTGGCCGCACCTAATTCTCATTGGGCTTGTCCCTTACCTTCACTTACCCGGGTTTTGATTCTGGCTCATCTCGAGCGACAAAAAAGCAAAGAGCATGGCACAGGTTTCACCAAACGTGTTTCCAGGAAACCACCCCTCCCGACTGCAGGCGCAACTAGGTACGTGCACCACGAGGTTTCAGCTTACAACACAGCTTACCTTTGGGCCTGAGGCAGGCCTGTGCGCGACAGGTGGCCGGAAGTGCGAAGTTCGGCGGCCAGGTTGGCCGAAGGAAGAGTCGATGCATGTGTGTTTGGCTCAAAAAATGGAACCAAAATGGCACCTTGGAACGTGAAATCAAAGACTAAAACCCGCGTAACCCCAGCTCTTTAATTTTGAGCCACACCCGTATGTAGTTGTCAGTTCAAAAGGAATCCAAGTACATCGCCCACCCATTCCCAGAAATTCTGTCAACTGCACCAGAAAAGCACCGTCATGCAGAAACAAAGAACACTGACAAGCAAACCAGGACTGGGGGAAGGGTGGAAAAGAGAAAATAGAAAGTGAAAGCAAGCATAGAGTTCCAAACGGGGCCTTCAAACAAACATCATGGTCGGGCAAAATTCCAGTCAAGGAGCCAAACAGGTGTTCAAACCACCAGGAGAAACCATGATAAGCGTTGGGCCGAGTTGTAGAATGTAAACTTTTGGTGTTTGCTTCACTTTGACCCAGCAACTGTAAAAACAAATCTGAAGACCCCGCAGCGATGGGTTCCGAGTCACAACTCTGCTGCCCTCTCTGCCAGCGTCGCCAGCTGCTGCCTCGCCAACTCCTCGCCCGCCGCTTCTCGCCGGACCGGCGGCCAGCTCTGGGATCGGGTTTTCACGTCCACCGGCACCGTCTCCTTCAGCAGAATGCGTTGGGCGAATCACAAATCCGTGGTGAAGTTAAGTTATCTGGTCACACGTTGGGTAGTCAAGATCTGGTTGCACGTATGGAAAAAGCCGCAACGAAGTGTCCGTCCGCAGTATGGGTGTTGACTTGATCAAGCTTTGGTGTACCTCATAAATACATGATATGGGGATCATGCACTTTTGAGGATCCCCAAATTCACAGAAGGCAAATGAAGGTCCTTTCCGCCAGTCGTGAAACTTGACACTGTGGATGGACGACATCCTGCACCACTTAAGAAAAACCCTGGAATGATGATTCCCCGCTAAATACCAACAAACAATGATTTCCCATGGTTTCAAAGTGGTGCGAAATGGATGTTGTCAGGTTTCGAAAAGTAAGCCCGCTCCGATTCTGGAAACATGTCAAACCGCCAAACCGCTCCTCATCGATGAAGGTCCGGTGGTACTTCAAACACATTCCGGCTCGCCGACGCAAGCCAATGCTAATCTGTGCCTCTTGGTCCGATACTGAACGGATGACTCCAAGCGACTAGACCAGGCACAGTGAATGAAAAGGAACCGGACCAAACTGATGTCAGCATGTTTCACCGACCTGACCCTCAGTTGTTCAGTGACCTGGAAAAAAAGGGAGCCCTTTTTTGGGAAGACCATTTTAGTGGGGCAGCCACCAAAAAATGGGAAAAAGGGAGCCACTCAACAACTGAGGACCTAACGCCTCCGTTTCTTACACTTGTGGACTTCAAATATGAAACTCGACGAACCCAACCACACTCGCGTCATCTTTTTGTAGGGGTACCGTTGTGGGTGAATTTCAAGAGGTACCAAAAGGAAAACCACCATGTTTGCTTTTGGATGCTAAAACTGTCTCTGTGTTATTCTTGTTTCTGGGGGGGTAGCCTTCATACATAGATAGACTTCATAGATACATTGATAGATAGATAGATAGATAGAAAGACAGATAGACAGATGGACAGACAGATAGACAGATAAACATTAGACAGCTAGACAGAAAGCCAGATAGACTGATAGACAGATAGACAGATAAACAGATAGACAGATAGACAGATAAACAGATAGACAGATAGCTAAATAGAGATAGATAGATGAACAGATAGACAGACAGACAGACAGATAAATAGATACACAAGATGAGTAAGATAGATAAACAAAAAGGTAGACATATCAGATAGGTAGCTAGATAGATAGATAACAGATAAATAAATAGATAAAACAAACACAAAGATCGACAGACAGACACACAGACAGACAGACAAACATAGATAGATAGATAGATAAAATCGATTACATAGATAGATAGATAGATAGATAGGTAGATAGATAGAGAGATAGATACATAAATAGATAGATAGGTAGACAGACAGATAGGATAGATACATAGATGGATGGGAAGATCGTAGCATTGCCTTCAAACGTTGGAGTCCCGTTCATCGCTATATTCCAGGCAACTTTTGCTGGTTCTTCAGGTCAAACAATGTTCTTCAGCAAAACGAACACACAGCAGCGTTGCCCGATACGGAATACTGCGATGAATGCCGCCATGTGTGTTGTTTGGTTGCTTGTTATTTGTCAGTTTGTTTGTTTGTTTGCTCGTGTTTGTTTGTTTGTGTTTGTTTGCTTGTTTGTCAGTTGATCAAATGATTCATTGGCGTACTTCCTCAAGCGATGAACGCTATCTGCGTTTCTTGGGCTCTTCTCGGAATGGCTTCAAAACCGTAATGGCTCAACATGGCCATGCCCAAACACCCCCAACCCTCCGCCATGGCAAAGCAAAGCCTGGCCGAAAAGTTGAAGCCCTTACCCCTCGCAAGCAACGAGGCCAGCTTGACTCTTACTCAGCATGCTCTTTCCATCGCAAAGGGGAAACATTACTCCAAGCTGAAATAGCGGATACTCAAATTAGTTGGCAGTCCGAGGCTCCTCAAACACATTGCGCTTGAGTCGCCAGTGGCAAATGTGAACTATATTTTGTGACACACAGTGAGATACTTATGGCAAGGGGAGAGTGGTCTTATCTTTAGTTAACACAGTCCTGACTGTAGCTCAAATGAAGACTTTGAAACATTCCCGTGGAGCTTACGCGAAAAACTCCAGCTGATCGTCCGACTGCCCTGCGTTGCAAACGGCTGGCATCCATGCAAACTATTGTCTTCCGCGCAATCTTGTCAACATCCGTACAGGTCCTTCACTTCTTCCAATCTTTGCTGAACGCTCGAAGCGACACCCGAGCAATGTGTATGTTTTCCCTTTTCGACAGGAAGGGGTTGTTAGATTCTATGTTGGAATCCGCGTTTGCGACGCTTCTACACCACGCCCCCACCAAGTATCCCGCCAGAGCAGCTCGCCAGTGGATCCCGCCGAGTATCCCGCCAGAGCAGCTCGCCAGTGGATCCCGCCCAGTATCCCGCCAGAGCTGCTCGCCAGTGAATCCCGCCCAGTATCCCGCCAGAGCTGCTCGCCAGTGAAACCCGCCGAGTATCCCGTTGAGTATCCCAGAGTAGCTCGCCAGATGGATCCCGCCGAGTATCCCACCAGAGCAGCCCGCCGCTTAATGTCCAAAAGGGCCGATGGGAATTTGGAGTCGAAGTTTCTAGGGTGCGGAGGAATTGTTGTAACGGTCGTAAGCTCGTGAGTGTGGAGGGCGGGGATTGCTCGAAGCGAAGTATTTTCAAAAACCACGGCTTTCTTTTGCTTATGTTTCAAGCGGAGCTGGAGCCACGCGTTCGCTTGCAAGCACCGTGCAAGCTTCCAGGAAGTCGACGTCTCTGAGGCCATGGCGCTTCCAAGACCTCTGCCTGGCTGGCGCAAATGTTGCAAACGTGCAGCGCGTGCAGATGGGGTCCTTGAAAAGGAACACGTCCCCAATTCTCCAACCCCGCGGCCTCGAAAAAGGGAACGCTAGAAGGCGAGCCTTGAAATCTATTCTCAAAGACTTGGCAACAAGTATCAAGTACTTGCTCCCTCTCGGAGTGGTGCCATCTCATAGCTCGATGCATGCAAAATACCTTGACAACACACTTGGCATAACCGGCCATGTACTTCACAAACACCGGGACTATCTTTTGTTTTTTGTGGTTTTCTGAGACAAACGTGTTCCTGAGGCAGAACGTGGCACTGCAAGTACGCACTGCCAGGGTGCAGCATCCTCCATCTCCAGAAGCGCCCCCCCCCCCCCCGGCCTGCGCCTGCGCCGGCGCCGGCGCCGGCGCCAGTTGGGCCTCCGGCACCTGAGTCCAATGGTCTCGAGTGGGCGGCTCTTTTGTTAGGAAGCCAAAATAACAACCGATGCCATTTGTTTGGGTCTGCCAACAAAAAGAGACACACATACACACACACACACACAAATGCCTGCTTTTCTCTTGGCTTGCTTTTATGTGGCACTAGGGTCTCACAAACTGCAGGCATACCCGATTTAAGCAGACTTTGGATGGCTTTTTGGCGTGATCGACATGTTCTTTTTCCATTAGGGAAAGGCGACGAGAAAAACACAACTCATCCCTGACATTTGATACCTATTTGAGACGAAACAACCTTGATAAACCAAAGCCTTCGGCTCAGTCGGCCACCAATGTTACATGCAAAGGCTGAATTTGTTCCTGGCTAGTGAGTCCATAAGGCTCTGTCTTTCTTGAGGGTACCCCTTTCTCGTGGTCTTCAAGGAGAACCAAAAGGAAATCGATGCCATTCTTTGGGGTGTCCAATCCCTAACAAACAGATCCATATTTGCACTTTCGCAAACAAGTTGTCAAACATAACACCAAGCAAACATTCGAGCAATTCGCCAGAGTCCCGGACAAAGGACTTTGGATCAGGCAAAGGCTGCATCTCCTTCTGAATGCTCTCCCAGAACCTGAGGCAATGGGTGTGGTTCCCTGTTTTAGGGGGTGGGTCCCTAAAAGGGACACACCCAGATTCATCTTGCAACATTGTCTTTGGCTGCTACCCAAGCCATGTATTCTCGTATCTGTACCGGGGCCTTTATACGAAACCCGCTCAAAACGCAAAGCACCATCTTTAAGCCAGAAAACAAATGAGGGGAACAAAAACAAAAAACTGTCAATGGCAAGATGAAACTGCCATATCTGGCCCTTTCAACTAGGAAATACAAAAACCTCTGCTTCAAACAAACAGCTCCGGGCGATTTGAGTCGATTTGAGGGTGAGACCCCTGCCTCTGAGTTTCAACATCACTGATGTTGAGAATGTCGGAGGTCTCCAGCTTGTCATGCACTTCCTGACGCAATCTGTCTCAGGCGGTCGCTCGGATGGCTTGAGCATCTCCCCAAGAGGAAAAGCCCAAAAGTTGGCCAAGCAAAAAGCGATGGTTCAACTGGCTAAGGGGAATCTGGCTAAGGACAGGTCCTTTCCTCACACGCGTCGGTCCTTGACACTTGGAAAGACCTCGCTCTTCAGGGTGTTGTCAATGCAGTTGAGAAGCTTCTCGTCTGAGAGACACTGCCTCCAATGCAACGCGCACATGAAAAACTATTCTCGCCGGTCTGTACCTCAAATGGGCGACCCTCCACTGGAAAGCGTTTGAAAATAAACGAAAGCACCCCTTCCCAGTTTTGTCGGTCCTGTATTTTAGGAACGTACCCAATTCGATCCACAGCAAACGTGAGAAGGTTGCGGCAAGTTAAAGGTGAAGTTGCCGAGGGGACACGACTCAAGCATGACTGTTCCACAAAAGAGGCCGACAAGCAGCCAACAAAAAACCGACGGGATTGGAGGTTTCAGGATGGGTGTGGTGCCCATCTTGCCAATCACCCACACCCCTCTTTCTACCCCTCCGGCATATTTTTTCTCACGCACATTTGGGTACATTTCTTGGACATGATTTGCCAGCCTCGGATTCATCCGAGGGACTGTCCTAATTTGCTACTTTTGGTGGAGTTCTCTGAGTTACCTCCGGCGGATACAGTAAAAGGAGCGCCCGTTGGGGCACTTGACTTCAAAGGGAATCCACCTGCACAATAAAGGCGAACAAAAAGGACTGCCCCAGAGGTCTGCGCCACTATAGCTGATCCCTATTGGCCCTGCACTGAGGCGAGCACCCTGTTGCCATGAGCTTGCGAAGGAGGTTGTCCAACAATTCTGCCTCAGGGCTTGGTTCCCTTTGGATACCCGCTAAGACAAGCGGGCCCCAGAACGCTTTTTCAAAGCCAAACGCACCCACACCCAAACCTTATGTGCCAAAACGCATCTCTCTCCAAGTGGCTGTGGGTCAAAACCAATGGTACCATTTTGGGTTAGGTACACCACCCATTATAGAACCTATTTTAATGGGGATTGGGATGTTCACAGGGGGTACGATTTGGATTTTCACCCATGGCCAAGTAATTAGGTTTGTTACCCACTGACCGACTTCTGGCTCTTTCTGCGTGCCAGTTGCTCAGCCCCTTGTTTGCCACACAGGCAGCGCATATCAAGATGGCAAGTCCTTGCCATATGTCTTGGTTGCTGTCAAGAGACGGCAAGGTGACGTCCCGTGGGACGCTATGCACCGAACCCTCCAGCTGTAATACCAACCACGTGGAAAGGTGTATACGGACGATGCCGTTATAGCCGAACCCGTGTAAACGTTGTAAGGGGGAAGGAATGATAGTTACAACAGTGGTCCTGACAAATGCAGCGCAAGCGAAGTGTTTTCCGCTCTCAATGCCGATCACGTATGAATGCAGCTACACATCAGATCTTGAACCTCAATTGTGTCTTGAGCCAAATGGCGATCAATGGAACTTGGTAAGCAACACCAACACAGACCTCAGAACAGCTTCCCAATTTAGGCACGGGGCCTAGAGGGTTTTAACATCCCCCATTTGGGTCGCATTGTTCATCATGCGGTCCAAACACCACAAAACGTTCCACTGGCCACGGCTTCAGCTACGAAATCGTGTCGTGCATTCTTTTACTTGCTATCGCTACACCGTTCATTCGTTGTGAAACATGCCGGGTTCGATTGTATGAAAAGTGAAACATTCATCCACCAATCGAAGCGCACTCCCATATGCAGGTGTATACAATACACTATTGTCACGTCATTTGACCACCAGTGAACATCCCAGCTGCCGCATTTGCGCATCGCGCAGCCGTCATCCATAGAAAATGGGTTGGCCATAAGAGTCCAACAGAGGCGCCTGCTCGTAAGCAATCTGCATATCTCCGGCAAAGAAATGTCGGTGAGCAACCAATGCAAATCATAGCCATTCCAGATACCATGATCAATGTATAAATAATGAAAAGGAAATCATCCATTTGGTAATAATCCCATCCATGAATATCCAGAATGTCATAGTCGTCGGAATATGTAACCATATACACATCCATTCAACTTGGACGCATGAAATCATATCATGACGTAAAGTCGTTCCAACTCAATAGTGTCGATGAGACGCAAGCAACGGATGGGGACTAACCCACATCGTGCCGCAATCATCATCTTCACTGCGCATACCTGTCCCCAATGGACAGTCTGTGAGTGCGCCGACGGAACTCCTCGTCCAAGTTCTTCTGGGCTTCTCGTGCCCGGACACACTTCTTGCTGTAATCCTCTGGTAGCCAGTGCCCTTTCCGAAGGCACCAATCCAGCAGAGGCGTGTCACACTTGTTCGGGTCGACGGCCGAGATGATGGCGCTCACGTTGACCGCGTAACCATATTTGCCAAGGTTCAGGCCATCCCTCACGAATGATATATACTTACAGTTGAAAGCCAGTGCAAAGCATCTGAAAATAATATCACCTACCGGGTGCACTCGGTCCTTGACCAGGAGCTTCATTTCGTCCTTGGTGACATCGAGGATTCTCGCTGCAATCCACAGCTTGTAGAATGTGTATAGTCCCTCGCATTTGCACACCATCATACGAATATATTCATCACGCTCCTCAACCGATCGGAAGGCTCTTGTCCGAACATTCTCCGATTGAGAAATCTTCAGTGTTGTTGATGGCAAAAGTATACCTTCCTGATCGTGCTCAGTCATGTTGGGGTATCTCTTGAAGTCATTGTGGTAAGGGCAGCCCGGTCTCCCCTCGAGTTGGGCATTCATCGTTCTCTCCTCACCACCCTCGAACATCCCCCACATCTTGGACATCTGGAGTGCGATAAACCCTGCCATGTACTGAGCCTCACGCGGCTCGTCAAGGCAGATCGCCATCCGCTGGGAGTTTATGATATCCCGTGACGTCAGATCAGTGTCGCGGTAATACCAACCGCTGTCATCCTCTTCTGACGCATATCCGGATGTATATCCTTGCGTGTCCATGTCGTCTTCTTCTCCCGGAACTTCCTCCGCTTCGTCATCATCCTCCTGTGCCGCCGCATCGTGGTTAGCTTCTTCCTGTGCGCGCTTGGCATCTCCCGAGACGTTGGGGTTTTGGTTGTCCTCCTCATCGTCGGAGTTGACGTGGATGTAGTACCTCCCGGTGGAGATCAGTTGCGCCTCACATTCCAGGCATAAGCAGAAGCAGGTGGGGATCGCGGTCGCACATGATGGACATATCCGGCACCTCAGTCCTTCCCATGTCTCATCATTCAGGATGACGACTTTGCTGATTTCGTCCCTGACCTCGTTGACCTGCGTGTTGAACTCCTCCATCTTGTTGTTCCGATAGAGTTCGCATGCACGATCAACCATGTCTCTGATGTAGTGCAGATTATCGGCACCTGTCTCGGTCTCGGGCATCCTCTCGCTGATCTTTGTGACGTTCTGGAGGAACATCGCAGCCGACTCTTGGGATGAGTTGACGAAGCCAGGGCAGATCTCGTTCTCCACACACTTCGAGTACGCTCTCTTGACATCAACGTACTCCAGGCGTTTCCCTCCGTTGCTTTGCCAATCCAAATGGACTTGACCTCATAGAACGGGACCACGTCAAAGACCATGAAAGTCCCATTTGCCGCGACTCCAGCTCCATACCGCGCGAGGGTTGCACTGGGAATGTAGATGATCGCAATCGGGTCCCCCTTCCTTACGTTCCGTAGCGTCACCTTCGTCGCCACGTTCATCTCATCCCATGGGGCAAACGCTCCAAAGTGCAGTGCTAGCCTGTTACCGCCATCGATTCCGCCGGGGACTAACCCACAGCGTACGATGCTTGGCAGATTTTCCACATACGTCACATGGAATGCTCCTCCGAGAGAATCACCCATCCTTGCGGAATACCTATTTGCCAGTGCGGATGAGCTCATGAATCCAAAATCACTGTGACCAGTTGTGACTCGGATGCACCAAGGTCTGTACCATCCATCGCATCTGTTGAACATCCTGTCGATGTCGTCCCGATCCATGCCAGCTTTGGTCATTTCCTCCCTGGCCGCCCTGGTGTCGTTCGGGTTCATGATGCTTGGAAACCTTGCTGCCAGGACCTGAAATCTCGATTTCTTGCTTCCAGATTCCTGCCACTTGATCACCTCCATGATGCCCATGTATCGCTTCGCTCTCGAGGTGCCTGGTGGGAATATGTCGTTGTTCCGGTCGTCAATGACTGCATCAATGTCGACCCATCCACCTTCGTCGCACCTGAAAGCACTTCCTCGGCAGCTGCCGATCTTGTGTCGAAGGACTCTGCATAGGTCGTGAGATAGCTGGTTTGCTTGGTCTTTCGTAGCAAATACCGAGCGATCATCGCCAATCCTGCATAGTGGAGCACCGTCAAAAGGAGCAACGCAGAAATTGACACTCTTGCCAAGCTGCATCACGTCCACCTGCTCAAGGATGGCACCTTTGGGAAAGTATCTGGGGTCAACGATGGACGCATACGCCCATGGCAAGTGCACATCACTCACGTCGCCATACTTCGGGATGTAGCACGGGATGGTGTCGCATCCCATCTCAAGCGTCTTCTTGAATGTCCTGTTGTCCCCGCACGGGTTGTAGGTGAGGTCCACGCCACCACATTGTAGCTCTCCTCCCTCAGCCGTGTCAGCCATCTCCACCAAGTTGATGGTATAGCTATACATCTCAATTGTTTCTTTCCCTGCTTGTCCTCCTCTCTTTCTTTCTTTGGACGTTGATGAGGGCGGTTCCTCCGTATCCCCCATATCTTCATCCGATGACACGGGATCACTGCTGAGTAGCTTACGGAGCATCTTCATCGCTTTCTCGTTCCCAGCAGCCTCCTCAATGTCTTTGCAGTCGCCGTCGTGGGCCAGGTTCGCGCACTTCTTGCAGATTCCCATTTCTCCCATGCACTTCTCCATTGACTCCAGGAATCCTAGTGCCGCTCTCCGCCCGTCGATCACTCGCTGCTTCTTTTCTTCCTTCTCAGCGTTGGGCTGAGAGCTTCGGCTCGGGTCTGGTGCTTGACCAAGACCGTCACCTTCGCCCTCCGTTGCCTTTCTCTTGGACCCTTGGGCAGCAGGCTCGGTTATCAGGGATCGCGGGTGTCTGGGCTTAGCCTTGTTCATGATGTCCAGCACTTCTTTCGTGGGCGCCCCGAGTTGTGCGGAAGGTTTGTTCCGCTTTCGGTTCTGGCCCGTCGTGTGGGTCACGTTCCCGGCGAGGTGTCGTACGATTGACTGCTCGAACTCCCTCTTGATCTTCCACACATCCTTCCACAGTGGCAGTTCGTGCTGAAAGTACGACATCACCTCAAAGAACCCCAATACCATCTCGACGACGTCTCCCAAGGATTCCTCGTTTGAGGTTTGTCCCAGGAGTTCATACATCGTCCCTTGGTCGAGCACGCTCTTGATCCAGGAGGAATAGGCCACGTTGCCGAGATCCTTGTCTATCATGAAGATGGACATTCTCTCCTCGACTCCCTCGGAATTCTTGCACACGATCACATCCCGGGATGCACACAATTGCTTCCCGTGACCGTTGTTGTAGAACTGTGCTGCTTGATCCACTGTCATGCTCACGAAGCCCACGTGGGAGAGCTCCTTCTTCAGCTTAGAATACGCGAGCTCCCGTATAATCGTGATCATGGCCTGGATGTTGTTGACGTCCACCATGAGGTTTTGAAGGTCAGGGATTGCAACCACGCATTCCGCGAAGAGGCGCGTGTACAGCTTCTTCCCTTCGATAGACCTCGCAATACCGTTCGTGTCCGCATTCCAGTTCGCGCAACAGTTCACGCAAGAAGTGGGATTGAAC